AATCCTACGGATATTGCAGCTATGTGTGTTGTGTTTTCAAGTGTTATTTTATATATGTCTGACAAATCGAATTATGATTTTGATACTATCTAGATGTATTTAATAGTATCTAGATGTCTCGTTCATTCATTTGACCAATAAAAATCATAACTGCCTAGAAAGTAATATAAATAAAGTATGTAAATAAATGAATTAAAACGTCAAATTAAGAAGCAAAAGTCTTTTCTGGGTCACTGCGAATGGCATGATTTCCTCGAGTCGCTTCAGTTGCAGGGCAACCATACTAGGACCGATTCGCGTCGTTCCACTACTGCCCTTGGTGGGGGCCCGCTACCATACTATATGACTCCCGGAGTTTACTAAAGCACGTTAGTGGAGGAACCAACCACAGTCTCACAATCTGTCTCCGGCAAGAGCGGCCAGAGAACCAACCCATGCCAAGGGCCGGTAAACGGTTGGACCTTCGAACCGGGTGTCCGTAGTGACAATGATCAACAACTCCGTACCTGGGGCTCGAACGCGGGACCTCCGTATCCCACGACGTTCAACCGCAAAGTAGCCTCAGTCTACGCTACTAGGCTACCCTGCTTAGGTGTCAAAACTGCTAAAAAATAATGTAGTTGTTATAATTATTTGCTTGGATAAACTTGATATTACATTTCTTAATTGATTAATCGGATTTAGTTGGAATTGAAGTTCGACCAACGATCAAGGCAATGCAATCAAAAACTCTTGCAAATGTGAACGGGAGTCGTAAAAACAGAAAGTACAAGAATCGTGATCAATGTTAAGTACATGTATAATATTTAAGACACATCTTTAAATATCGGGTAGGAGAAACATTCCAAAATGAAGAAGAATCATTTAGAACATTTGATTTGTTGCCAATATATCAATTGCGTCTCAAATGAATGAAATAAACGGTATCGCGAGCCACTAAAGCCGATGAGTGAAAACAATTATTATTGACGCATCTAGATCGCTCAATGTAACGGTAAGTGAATAGGTTTGTGTAGATACGTCGAGGAAAATAAGCTATTTCGACGCTTGAAATAATCTGATTACGCTTATTAATAATTACGCGTGGCTATTAAACACAAGTGTTGTGTAGAACAAAAACAAAAAAACTGAACGACCTATTAAGGAACTGTACTTCCAGGCCCGTAAGACACTTTTCTCCAAGGGGGGTGCGGTTTTTAGCTTACTAAAGAGAATATAAAATTGTCAATTTTTTTGCGGGGGGGGGGGGCTCAGTTACTCCCTATATTGGTTTGGAATTAACAAATGCAACTTCCAAACGTTCCAATTGTTTTGTGGGGGTTGTGAGGAGTGGTCCACTCCCCCTAGAAAATTTTACAGTTTTGAGATGCTATTTGGTGCTTTCTGGGCACTTTCGTCAAAGTGTAAGTTTCCAAGTAGTACGCCACCACCATGGGAATAAGAGTTGAGTGAATAAAAAACCGAGCATTCAGTGGGGTCTGTGGGTTCTCCCCCAGGAAAATTTTGAAATTTGGTTGTATTTGGAGCGAATTTGCAACCATCTGGTACGCCCGTGCGTTATGAGTCAATAAGAAAAATGTGTATTTTCTTCAAATTCTTTTGGGGGTGTCAAAGTGGATGAGAGGGTGAAGTGGGGTGTGGTGCCAGTAGGGGAGCAAGGGGTTGTCCCCCAGAAACATTGACCATATCAAGGTGCTATTTGATGATGTCTGGGCACTTAAAAAATGTCTGAGACAATAAATGAAATTCAGAATATTTTCTTTTGTTTTGTGGGGGATGTGAGGGGTGGCTAACTCTCCTAGAAAATTTTACAATTTAAAGATGATATTTGGTGCTTCTGGGCACTTTTTAAGTGTATTAGTCAATAAAAACATTGAAAAACAATTAAACAATCACAATTTTTTTCAAATTTTGGGGGTTTCAAAGGGGGGGGGGGGTGCCAGAGGGGGAGGTGGGGCTGGGGTGCCAGAGGGGGAGCAAGTGTTTGTCCCCCATATCAAAATTTACAATATCAAGGTGCTATTCGATGAAGTTTGGGCACTTTAAAAGTGTCTGTGCCTAAAAGTGCCAATTTCCCAAGAAAGTTTTAAGATGCTATTTGGTGCTTTCTGGGCACTTTAGTCAATAAAGTCAATAAATAAAATATGAACTTTTTTTTGGGGGGGGGGGTGTTAAGGGGGGGGGGCTGCCAGAGGGGGAGGTGGAGTGGGGATGCCAGAGGGTGAGTAAGTGTTAGTCTTCCAGAATCATTAACTTTATCAAGGAGCTATTTGATGATGTCTGGGCAATTTAAAAGTGTCTGAGACAATACATAAAACAAATTCAGAACTTTTCCATTGTTTTGTTTGGGATGTGAGGGGTGGCCCACTCCCCCTAGAAAATTTTACAATTTTACAACGCTATTTGGTGCTTTCTGGGCACTTTCAAAGTGTATGAGTCTCAATTAAAGAATTTGAGTAAATCACAATATTTTTTCGGGGGGGGGGTCAAGGGGGGGGCGCCAGAGGGGGGGGGGGTCTATGCAAGTGCAAGATGCAAGAGGGGGAGCAAGTCCCCCAGAAACACTAACTATATCAAGGAGCTATTTGATGATGTCTGGGCACTTTAAAAGTGTCTGAGACAAAACACTAAAATAAATTTAGAACTTTTCCATTGTTTTGTGGGGGGTGTGAGGGGTGGCCAATACCCCTAGAAAATTTTACAATTTTAAGATGCTATTTGTACTGTATACTGTAGCTTTGAAATCTCGTTAAGGTCTCGTTTTAATGAGATTTCAGGAGATCTGCATTCATTTTCTTCTATTTGAATTCTGTACGTAATTCTCTATCAAATTCAAAACAACTTAGTTTTTGCACTGTTATTTACCTTTATTCAAGTTCTAGAGATTTTCAAGATTTCTAAAAATGGTCAGACTAAATCCCCATCGACACAATGTTGAAAAACCTTCAAAAGTTCATTTACTCTTACAAGGATCACAATTTTAATGTGAAATCACAATCCATATGTCAATTATATCACATAGCTACATTCCAATGGTGTTTTAAGTTGATTCAAATGGAATTACTTGTTAAATCAAGAATTTTAAGTGACTCTTGTCATGTTATTTAGCACTACCTGTACCCATGATGCCATCTATTTTTCCATTTACATAGAAAGGGTCAATTCTACAGAATCAGACTTTTTGGGGATGTTAAAAGAATCTTTTTTATTGTTTCTAGGTAGTGCCTCCTTTGCGATCCTGTTTGACCTTATCTTTAGGATGAACGAGAATATATGGAAGTGTTTGCATAGGTTTAAAAGCTACTTTGGTGTCTGACATTAGTAACTGGCTGTAAATTCTAAGTTAGCGATCCAGAAGATGTGAACTAATACATTGATCACTTCATGTCTGTTTTGGAATTTTGGTGAGGTAATAAGATAATATAATAACAAATATACGGCAATTGAAGTCAGGATTTGATTTATTCTAGTATTCTTGCTTAAAGGTAATAATAACATTGTCATTGGTAACGAACGTTTTTACATGTAATTATAAGTGTAAACTATTATTTCAAGTTTGGTATTTCAGCAAAAATAGGAAAACTAAGATAAGAATACTGGCTAAATTAACAGATTAAGTCTTGTATTAAGACCCTATAAACACCCATATATTCTCGTCTAAGACAAGTTGTGGGTTCAGGATCCTAATACAAGACTCTAGAGCAAGGCAGAGGAAATGTTGGTCAATCAAACCTAAAAAATAAGCAATCAAGAGACCACCGTGCAATACTGTGTTATATGCAAAAAAACGTTTACATTTTAAATACAAACGTTTTATATACATCTCACATTAAATCAAAGTAAATCCTTCAGCTCTTGTTATTTAGGGAGTCAGCCATGTTAATTCTTCAAAAAAAACTTCAGAGAAACATTTAGGCTACAAGGACGTTGGCCAAACAACATGTATTTCAAAACATATAAACGTTTTGCATATACAGTAAAAATACATTTTTCCATATTTTGCACTTCGTTCCTTTGATTGCTTTTTTAAGTTTAATAGACTTACAGATTCTTTTAGTTTTGAAAATCAATAGCTCAAGAATTTCATTTATAGTTTTATCTTAGCAACATACATTCAAAGAATCAATTTGATTCAGAAGGAAGTAACTCCATGTAAGTAGACTTATAATACTTTAAATAAATGCCATAACAAGAAACAGGCATTCAAGATAATATTTTCTATCCAGTAAGACAAGCCACAAATCCCCTTTCTTTTAAAATTTGATGCATTGGGCATATTCAAATGATATTCAATATAACCCATTCATAAGTATATTCTATTAATAAACATTCAATGATATTCAAATGTTATCCAAGGCTACATTACCCTCATACAAAGATGTCCAATAAATCAGAGCATGAGAAGTCAGGTACGTAGCCAATTTTTGCCAAGGTTGGGGGGGGGGGGGGTGTTTAATTTCCTCGAAAATTCCAGGGAATTCAAATTTGCCAATGTTGGCCTAAAAAGACCTGAAGAGTACACAAAATGGTAAAAACTGCATGATTTGAAAGAAGGGGTGAACGACTGGCTCATGTCTAGAAGTTGTAGCTTGTCCACTTGTACATACTTCATAGTTCACTTATAGAAACACACAAATCAGTTTCCCAACATAATACATATACTTCCCAAGTGGAACACTTTTTGGAGGTACCAAAGGTGTTCCACTTAGACAGGTTTTGCTGTACTTACAAAACAGTGCATTTAATACAGCACAAACATTAAATTTATTTCTTAAATTCAAAGAAGCATACGTAAGTGCCAAGATGACTAAACAATTTATTTCCTTTTCTGATACATACTTCAAATAAGCAATTTGAGCATGAAATTGTCGATGTTTAGGAAGGTTGGTACTAAAATCATCACTGGTACATATACTTAAAGAATTTACCCTTTTCAATATGTTCAATAATTTCTGCTGACACTGTTTTCAATATTCTTATATGGGCAAAACTGTTAATCAATCCAAATCAGAGACTATTATCAGCACATGAGCAAAGGGTGAACAAAGGGTAGAAGAGGGGTATCATACATAATGCTAGCTAACACATTAACATACTAATTCTACATTTTATGGAGTTTTGATTAAATCTATACAAATACATCTTAACAACTTTTCCTTTATAATTTCCTAGAAGAACTACTGTAAAATAAGAATTTTCATGTGAATCATTTTCTGTATTTATTTAACTTTTAATCAGCAATTGGTTATCGTGTCATGTCTTTCAAGCATCAAGTACATAAAACTTTCAATGAAACTTTTTATGAATTGCAACATAAAATTTCTTATTTCGCAGTTTATATTTACACTTAATTGCCTAATTTCAGAAATGCACCTGTATTGAAAATGTCACCAATCATTATTTAAAAATCTGAGTTTTTGTTGCTTATTCCTTTTTCTAGATTTAAAGCAACAAGCATTACTTTGTCACAAAATTTCTCTAAAATTTATAATATTGCCCTACAATTCACAATTTTCTCTACAATTTACAATATTTCTTCTCCGTTTCATTCTTTTTGCTTCAAACATCTGGATTTCTTTCTATGAATAAGTAGCAATTGTTGCCTTCTTGGATTTTTCCCTTAAACAGACAATATTTGAACACAAAGATTACTGTCTTTACAACCTTGTCACTGTTATTCTAATATTTCAATGATTCAACAGGCAACATTCACGAATCTAACAGGAATGCTCTAAATATCCTAAACATTAGTCAACACGTAATTCAAAATGGACGCTTCCCATTTTATCGTTTTTATGATACAAGATATTATCAGCCCAAGCTCTGCAACGAATTTGAACTACGATCCCTCGTGTGATTCCGGTGAACTGCGCCATGACGATAGGCTGTCTGTACCCCACTTGGTTCTTATATGGGAAGTAATTGAAGCTGAATCCAGCAGGAGGAAAGAATTCTACGGGTCCCATGTTGTCTATATCCGCAGGATGCTGTAAAACAGTATTTACATGTTATTTCTTAGAAATGGCATATGTTAACAGGTTTCATTAGCAGCAGACGATTTTCACCAGTTGTTTCCACAAAATCGCCTGCTGTTTTTAGGGACTTTTCGATTTTTTCATTTTAAATTGATGATTTCCGTTAATTTTGCCCGTTGTTTTAATTTATTTAGCCTGTTGTGAGAAATTCTAGTGAAACACTTTATCACGTCCTAATTTTGTTATCTCCCAATTAATTCACATTAAAAAATATTGTAACCTGAACACTTAACTGATTCAGTGATGTTTGGATCAACAGATTTTTTTATCTAGACCTCTGTACAAATTGTGAACAACTGAACAAATTCATATTACTGAACGAAGTCATACATAATTTAAAAGCTGTGCAAATGATACTTTTTTGACATTTTGTTTTTGAAAGAGGAAGGTCTCCAATTCAAGAGACAATCGTATTTAAGTTGAGTTTAGGCCAAATATTAATTTAAACATGTGCAGATCACACATTTTTGTATCAAATTCAGGACGGGGAGTTAAAACTAATGTAGAGTTAACTCTTACCTCTCCATTACAGGTCACTTATATAAAGTTAACTCTTACCTCTCCATTACAGGTCACTTATATAAAATTTACTCTTACCTCTCCAGTACATGTCACTAATACAGAGTTAACTCTTACCTCTCCATTACAGGTCACTAATATAAAGTTAACTCTTACCTCTCCAGTACATGTCACTAATATAAAGTTAACTCTTACCTCTCCAGTACAGGTCACTTATATAAAGTTAACTCTTACCTCTCAATTACAGGTCACTTATATAAAGTTAACTTTTACCTCTCCATTACAGGTCACTAATACAGAGTTAACCCTTACCTCTCCATTACAGGTCACTAATACAGAGTTGGACTCATACGCATCTGGATTTCCTGTGTCATTGGCATTAGCATAAGACTCTGGTACCCAATCAAATATCTACAACAGAAAAATTGCATAAGGTATTGTTTATTTGTGCTCTTTAATTGTTTACCAAAAAACAATAATGTTGTTTACAACAATGAGCAAGTTTTTCAACCTTTAAGTATATGCCAAATTGAGAAAATGGATACGACACAGAAAAATAGGATTACAAACTGATTATGTTTGTTTGTTTACTTTAACAAAATAACAATAAACGTTTCAATATGAAGTGAGGTGGATGGGGGTTAAGTTTCGTTTTTTTTTTCTTTTTGTAAATTTCTTCACTATAATTATTTAATGATTTGGGTAATACTTTTACACTATCATAAAATACATAGTTCAAAATCAAAATATTTTGCTAAAATTATGTTGCAATATCATTTCCCCCAGGTATTTAGGTATTTGTTAAATTTTTCAAAATGTGGAACTTCATATGTGAGTGGTCATTTTAAACTTACCCGGTTAAGTTTCAAAAGCACACAAGGTTGGCCATCAGCATAACCAAACTTGTTAGCCCACGTACAATTTGTTCCTAGGTCAGCTATGTCAAACTTGCATACCTTCTTGGGGTCTGATGGGGGTCCGGAGACACAGACCTCAGCATTGCTGGGAGGAGGATTATATTCTGCAATAGATATCTATGAATGTCCTGGATTCCTTACAGTTTGAGAAAGGGACATGTGACAAAATGTTTTTTTGTATCTTAAATCACAGTTTAGGATATCGGGGCCTATTCTCATTATAGAGTCAGTGATCTCCCCAGCTTTAAAGCAAGTGGGCGCAGCACTCACCTGAGATTTTGAATAGGCTTGCACCCGCCTGAAAATCCATTTGCACCCACTTGAAAATGAGAAAAATCATGAAAAATGGGCATATTTGACGAATTGTGAAAATGAGAATTTTGCACCCACTTGAGAAAAAATCCTGTGGAGATCACTGAAGAGGATTACAATGCAATCTTAGTTGTTTTTTTAATACTTCTTGTTATACTTTTTGGTCATCCTTTAAGCACTATGTAACCAAGTGACACCACATATCTAAGGCGACAGTTATAAAAATATTTCATAAAGTATTTCATTAATCACAAATGGTGTCCAATTATCACCAATCATGGAAAAATGAAGTTAATTTCATGATGGCTTGAACCCCCCACCTTCACCTCGAATGTTGATTTGTCAACACTATTCACTCACAAAAACCATCATTTACCCCTCCCCTAACAAAATTACCTTCATTTTTCCACAATTGTTGATAAATTGGCCACCATCCCTTCCTTAACACTGGTACTGCACTAGATCAGGCCCGTAGCCAGGATTTGCCAAGGGGGGGTTCAGTTTTAATTTCCAGGGGGGTTCACATTTGACAATTTTGGCCCAAATATGCCCAAAATCACTTAAAAAGTGCTCAAAATGGTGAAAAACTGCATGATTTTGAAAGAATTTTTGGCCAGGGGGGGGGGGGGTTCGCCCGAACCCTGCGAACCCCCCCCTGGCTACGGGCCTGCTAGATTATGATGTTTCCATTTCAGTAACAAGATGGCTATAGTTCCAGTTGGAAAGTTCAGTAAGATTTTTCTTTTTTCCTGATTTCTCAAGATATGGCAAAATCATCCAACTCTTTTCGCCATAAACATGTATAAGCATCATATGTTTCTGAAAATTGGAGTGATTTTGCACAAAATAGTTCATGGGAGGACAGAATCGTCCATAGAATTCCTCACTTTTGTAAACAAATGTCAAAATGCTCAAGATCTGTGTTTTTAACCAACCCATTCCATTTACGTAACAGTTATCAGATATTAAATCAAGGATTAAGTTGTCTTCTGAACGATTTATTCACAAAGGTGTACATTTTTTAAACAATGATACGGACAAACATTTGCAATAAAAGTGTTGTGAGAATTCTGCCTACAACTTATGAAATAAGGGATAAAGAAAAATCGTAACTTCAAGGTTCCGACATCTTGTTACCAAAACGGATCTGTTTCGGTAACTAGTTTAACCTCTTGAATCCCAGGTTCTAAAATAGGTTGAAACCAGATAACTTTTCATTTTTGCCAGCTTTTGACATTTTACTACATACATATACAACAGACGATGTTCAATTCAGTAAAATTAGACGGCAGAGATCATTTCTAGACATTTTAAAACAATTTTTGTGTAAATAATAAAAATTGTTCAAATAAGAGCAATTTTGGTGAAATATTTTGTGACGGATTATCTCGTCACTCTGGGTTCCAAGGTCATTTCTGAGGTGACGAGAAATCTCGTCACTCTGGGTAGTCAAGAGGTTAAGAGTGCAGTGCCAGTGCCTTAGATCATTTGCTAAAAATCACTCACGTTCCAAGAAGGCCTGGAGGTGGTTGATGTGTATCTGGTAAGACGATTGCTTTTCATGGTCAAAATCAATCAGGGTTGCTTTATGATCTATTAGTGGTCTAACACCCATTCCTGCATAGAGATAGAAAAACATGTACTTCACAAAAACAATTAGAGTCTCTTTGTTATTTATTAAGTGGTCTTACAAAGTTAAAACCATTCATGAATAGAAATTAGACTTCAGATGATTTTATGTCACACCAATCGACCTAGAGCAATGAAATGAAAATACAAAATCAAGGTCACCTTCACCTTGTCTGATCTTTTAAAGATTATTTCCACAACACCAAATTAGACCTTCACTAATTGGTAACAATCTATATCTCTTCAATATCTTACCAGTACATAAAGTGTTTGCATATACATAAAAAACAGATGGCATTGAGAGCCTCCTATTCCACACTATTATAGCATGACAGATATATTATTTCAGTGACGCCAAATAAGACCTTAACCATTTGGTAACATCTCAATATCTTACCAGTATATACAGAATATTGTTTGCATATACAGATCCATAAAAACAGATGACGTTGAGAGCCTCCTATTCAATATATAGGGCTGATTGTTAATTGGTCGAAGGTCTGAGGCCCATCAAGCTTCTTAGAAAGGATAGGTATCGATATGGTGAACTGAATTCAACAATGTTTTTCTCTTAAACCAGTTATTGAAAACATTCTGTAAATGAGGCATTAACATGACAAAATGTCACCACCAAGTTGAAGCAAGATAAAATACCTTTTTGACCTAGAGGAGGGCATTAAAGGTCAAATCTATTTTGACCTTGAGAATGTCATTTAAGGATCAATATAGTCAGATTTGAAATGTTGAAAACTTTTAGGTGATTTTGAAAAAAATTGGTCAATTTGAAGCAAGTTGAAAAAATACATTTTTTGACCTTAAGAAGGCCATTGAAGGTCGAATCTCAAATCTTAAGTCACATACACAAATATATATTAACTCATGTGTGAATATCTTTCATATGCCCAATATATATACTGAACACATACACATAGATCTCACACATAGGTATGATGAACACATGTCAATATACTTCATATACACAAATGCATATTAACTCATATGTAAATATCTTTCATACGCACAATATACATACTGAACACATGTGAATACATCTCACACAAAGGTATGATGATCTCGTCAATATATTTCATATACACAAAATACACAAATGCATATAAACTCATGTGTGAAAATCTTTCATACACAGAATACACATACTTGAACACATGTGAATACATCGCACACAAAGGTATGATGAACTCATGTCAATATATTTCATATACACAAATGCATATGAACTCATGCAGGGCTCTCGCCAGGCTTTTAGACTGTGGTGCAGCACCACACTCTATTTAGCTCCCTCCACACCCTACTGGCAAATCATGATTGTTTCCACAGTCTAAACTTGACTGAATATACAATAATAGCATGTAAAAAGGATAAAACATAACATAAATATGATTTATCACAATTGAACGGTTATTCTGAATATGTTAGCACCACACCCTAAATATTTCCTTGTGGGAGCCCTGTCATGTGTGAATATTTTTCATACACACAATACACATACATCTCACACATACGCATACATCTCACACGTATTTCATATGCACAAATACATATTAACTAACATACAAATATTTTTCATACACACAATACACATACATCTCACACATACGCATACATCTCACACGTATTTCATATACCAAATACATATTAACTAATATACAAATATATTTCATACACACAATATACATACATCTCACACATACGCATACATCTCACACATATTTCATATACACAAATGCATATTAACTCATGTGAGAATATCTTTCATACGCACAATATACATACTGAACACATCTCACACATAGGTATGATGAACTCATGTCAATATATTTCATATACACAAATGCATATTAACTCATATGCAAATATCTTTCATACACACAATATACATACTGAACACATCTCACACATAGATATGATGAACTCATGTCAATATATCTTTCAAGGCATAAAAACATCTTGAGCTCATACATGAGCATCTTTCATAGAGAAAAATATTTGGTTACACTCCATTCACACATATACTTCACTCATGTGAATATAACTCGAACATAAATACATTTAGAACTCATACGTGAATTCATACACATATATATATGTAGTAAATACATATTAAACACATGTCAATACATTTCATACAATACAAGTATAAAACTTTGAACTCATTCAAATGTATTTCAAAGGTACAAATACATATTCAACTCAGATGTGAATATATTTCACACAAAAAACACATTGAACTCATTTTATATATTGAACTCATGTAAATATATTTAGTCAACACAAATGCAAACTGAACATTATTCTTATTTACAAAAACAAAAAAACAAGTTTTGTTTACTCTATTGTATCATTAGATTTATTTCAATACAATTAAAATCTACAATCGTTTATCATGATCTACAATTTCAAAATACATTTTACAAAGAGAACTAAATCACATGATAATATGAATAAAATGTACTTTGAATTTAGTGATCATAAATATCTTGATATGGACTAAAACACTTACAATGTGCATTTTAAAACAATTATATTCTTTTTCTAAAATTCTGATTATGTGCAGCAGTAATATGATTCTACTTTCAAAGATAATTAGTAAAACATCAAACACTTCTCATTCTAACAATCACACAATGTCTTTAATGTTGGGGGGAATATTTGAATGGACAATATCATGTATTTCAACAAGCCAATTCCAGTGTAGTGTGAGTGTTGTCTCATGATTCTGCATTATGATAAAACTTTTCGGAATGTAAAAGGAATGTATTCCAACTCATTATGGAATGTGAAAACTTCAGAGGAATGAAACATTGGAATGTGAAAACTTCAGAGGAATGAAACATGACCCTTTAATACAACAAAATAGGGAATATTTTGGTTCAATGCAGTAAGTCATGACATAATCTCAATATTACCAACAGATCTTTAAGAATATTTTCACCATGTCTAATTTTATTTAAACAATTATCTTGGAGATTCTTCTAGTACTCCATGATAATAATGTGCTAAAAGAACAGTCATTTACAACTTTACTGCACCACAAACTAAAATCATACCATATAAGATAGTACAAAATATGATAATCAAGAGCATGAAGTCAAATGTTTTGATAACAATTTGTACCTGTACAGGTCAGAATCTAGTACATGTAACTGGCACGCAACTTTAGATTGAACATCACTCCTTACTATAGGTAGAATTAACATTATATCTGTCTGGGAGTGTATATTTCCCAATGTAAAAAAGATTAATTATACAGTGGTTTATTCAAAACACATAATTATTTTAGTCCTAAAAATGACAAAAATACCCATATAGTAAATGATTTGATAGTAAAAATGTTAGTATAAATCACAAATTTTCCTGATTCTTCTAGTGATCATGATCATAATTTTCAAGGATATCTCTGCCATTTTCAGAATTACCACTGTACATAGTGACATAAAGTCAAAACTACAGGTCATAAAATGGTGTACATGTAAAAACAATGCATAGCTTAAGTCCTAATTTTTTTTAATCGACTAATAACTCAAAATGCACACTGCCCATTTTATCATTTCTATGGTGGTAGATGTTGTTTGCCCAGGCCATACATCTGACTTGGATAACTACGCCATTTGCTGGATTCTCAAATTGAGCCATAACTAGTGGAGCTCTGTATCCTAACTGGTTTCTGTAGGGGAAAAACTGGAATGGCATACCAGAAGCTGGCCAGAATTTCACAGGTCCAATGTTTTCGTCATCAGCTGGGTTCTGAAAAAAGCAGAGAAAATGAGTGAAACTTTTTTCAAAAAATAAAATAAAGGGAGTGGTTTGCATCTAAAGAAGGCCTTGGAGTTTTGACAACAGAAAAATAACACAGGTAAATAATTTGAATAATGAGAATTTCAACAAGGAAAACAAATCCAAACTTTCCAAAGTAACAAAGATGAAAAGCTGTGTTACAATACCTCTCCTTGACATGTGATCATGATATCTTTTTCTCTGTATCTTCCAGGATCTCCTGTAATATTTGGATTGCTAAGGGCTTCTGGTACCCAGTCATAGATCTAAAAAAATAAACTTTATTATTAAATTTTATGTCAATCATTTTCATTTTAATACTTGTGCAGATTGTTTCATGTTATATAATTTGTTATGTTGCTTTGTTTTATTTTACTTACTTATGATGCCCTTCATATTTTCCCCATTTATTTATGATAAGTAGTATTTTTATCAGTGATCTGAAGTATTAAACCAACCAGGCTCAACTCAGTTATAACATTTATCAATAATCTTACACCAAGCTTATTTCAATTCCTCAAGAATTTCCAAATACTCATAAAATCATAAAAGTGTTATTTTGATCAGCATTAAATGAGGATTTCTTGGTAAATAGCTCCTTTATATATTAAGCTCTTAAAATAACAACTTCAAAATATTAATCTCAAAAAATTCAAAATAAGTTTAATTATGTTTTCAGAAATGTAAAATAAAGTAATTTGAGAAAATATTATGAGATAAAAAACCTGACACACTGACCCTTTTTTAAGTTAGTATGTATGTCTCACCTTGTTTAACTTGAGGAGTACACATGGTTTTCCCTCATCATATCCAAAATCTTTCTGCCATGTGCACTCTGCACCAAGATCTCTCACTTCAAATCTACAGACCTTCTCAGGGTCAGTTCTTTCACTGTTAGAGCAATCAACGTAGTTTTCACCAACCTGTCTCTCATTTTCATATTCTAAAAAAGAAATAACATTATAAAAAAAGGATTTATTGTAACATTATTTTTTAATTATTTATTTTTATTTTATTACAAATTTATACAAAAAAGAAATGATTATTTCTCCACTCCACTTTCAACCATTCTGATTTATTCGTTCATCCAATATTTAAGAGCTTAAAGGACTATGTAGTGATCTCCCGAGGATTATTCTGTGTGAAGGAGTTGTCTTTTAAAAATAGCAACAATTTAGGATTAAGTAAACACGCCCGATGATAGGAAGAAATGAATGGAGGGGGAATGCGGGCAACATTCTCAGGAATTTTGTTTTTCTATGGATGATTTTAAGGAGCAGATAGAAATTTTTGAGTAGCATTTTCATGTTTTGGGGGTGCTGTGCCTCAGAGATTTCAATGTGGGGAGAGTCCTGCTATGAACCACACAATGTTTTAAACCAGTCACAAAAGGAATCTAAACCTGAAAAGTGTTTCACTTACGATCCAAGAATGCCTGAATATGATCTGTGTAGAGCTTGTAGCTAGATGGCTTTCCCTGCTCGAATCTGATCAAAGTGGTCTCAAAGTCGGGCATTGGTCTATAGCCCATACCTGAAATGTAATAAAAATAGTTAAACATGTGTATAGTCATCAAAAAGGAATCCCTTAAAATCATTAAATATAGGTATAAAATCATTACAACAGTGAAGATAGTAATAGTCTAGATTTTAAACGGGAAACTTTTTCAACATGAACTAATCTAAGTTTTGGATTCTTTCAATTCTTCAAAATCTGCAGTAGTCAGTGTTTTTATTTTGATAAAATATCTTTAGATAATATATATGTTCAATTCTAAAATTATGGTATTTTGTTGACTAATATTGTATTAATTAACATACCTAAAACATAAAAACATAAAAGCAATTCTTATGATAAACATTTGTAATACAGTAGTTAACTGATGATTTATGGTAGTCTATTTGAGGACACCCATGATTTTAAAACATTCACACAAGTCATGCTGTACTATCAACTTATAAATTTGATGTGATAGAATCCTAAGATTTTGCACTCAATTGAAAAACTGTTATACTATGTATTTTTACATAAAACAGCATTGCCATTTTGAGATTAAAGTCATGAGCAAGTCCTCAAACAGTCATACTAATATAAATGGTGCACCATGCAAAAATGCAACAACAAAACTGTCGGTTTAAAAACGTAACTAAGACTGGGTATAAGTAAACATAGAAATGTTGGTTTTAGGCAAACATATAGCTTTGGCATGTTACATGTATTAATCATATACAAAGCCTAACATCAATTAAAGTAATCAAATGAGGTTAATCAATTTTTGAATGGTGACCAAAATGCTTAAGATAATGAACATATAACCTAAAGTAAAAATAAATTGTAAGTATTTTGTGCTACTGGTATATTATATAGCACTTTAATACAGTAAAACCTATTGTTATAGTTGCTAGTAGGCAATTTATATTTTTCAGTTGATTTCAAATTTTCCACCATGGACATGTATAGTAATGAAGGTTTCAAAAGAATTTTTAACAACAGACAAAACAAATGAAAAAATTACAAATGCCTAGTTTAAGCCATGTTTTATAATAAACAAGTTTTACTGTATTAGACAAGCTTAAATGATAATGCACAACTGTAGTTCAATATCTATAGAGCAGTACATATCAGAACCTCAACATGATGCAGCTCAAGCTACCTTGTCAACTCCAAATATTGACCACTTGTTATGCAAACATGTACAAAGGCAACAAAATTGGCCCTTTATTGCTATTTCATTTTCTTTTTCTTTCTTTGTTAGGCAATGTCATTTGACACTGAAAATGGGTTCTTGTATTCCTATATGATTTAACCATAATGTTTCGACATATAACTCAAATATTTCAGAAACCTATCTTAATTAGAGATAACGTCTAATTAAAGGCCCCATATAAAATTTAAGCCACTTAAATTTCACTTAATTACATTGCATGGGGCCTTTATTAGATTGAGCACAATTCTTCAAAACATTCTTCTCTCATTCTTAAAAAATATAAAAAAAATATTCTGAAAATATGACTGACTTGATATACCATTTTGTCTACTGTAATAGTATGCAATAAAGGACCCCTTAGAACAGGTAAAATGTAAGTAAAGCAAAAAATATTAACAACAATGCCCCTGCACCAATTTTTTATAAAAAGCACATAATATTTATGCACAAGATGCCAACTTTCATAATGTTAAACTTTTTTCAAAATTGATCCATAATTAAAGAATTTTGCTTACCATTTTTTTCATAATGATATCTTGATATACAAAATCTCAAATGATGTAACTTGTTCACAAAATGATGGCAGAATATTACACGCCAGGGGGTGCTTGTCACTTGGCTAGGATCTTTCAAAATGAATAAATCATTTGTTCTGTAAGTCTTATGTAGTGCTTTTTCAAAATCTCCCGATTTTGGACAAGATGATGTCAGAAGTGCAAAAGGCATCGAATTATTTATCTGTTGCTTCACATACAATAATTAAAAAAAAATACAAGCTGGGACTTTTCAACCAAATTGGTATTTGGTACTCCAGGCACTATTTTACTGGTACCATTTTAACTAAGAGGAGGAGATAAGCCAATAGATCATAGCTGAGCTAATAATTACCTTTCCGTACAACACAAAATTTCAGCCATCTACTTAGAAAATCCTTCACAACAATGTGATATTTGAATCCTCAATAGATTCTGTATATGTCTTTCTTTATCTTATGTCAAAAACAATTCAACAACTTAATCATGCCAGAATAACATTTTATTGATCAAAGTAAATTTTACAAAACTTTAAATAAATAAATCCTTCCTTTATTATGATTATAAACCATATCATCAATAAATGGTTTTCAACCAATCAGTGATGATAAAATATCAGTCATAGGCCAATTAAAAAGAGGTATATGAGTATGTGGAGAAATGGAAATGGATGCTTTTCTCCCCCTCTTATTTTAACTGGTACTAAACCACACACGGTACAAATTGGCACCAAATATGCTGACTAGTACCAAATTGTTATCATGTGCGTATGTATATATACTGCCAAAAATAGAATTCACATTATAAACTTGGTCAATCATAAACTAAAATCATTTGGTGTTCATATAATGTGGCTCATTCCATGGTGGAGTACACAAACGCAACAGCATGCAGGTTGCAGTCACTTGCATGCCATTCAACTAAAATTCAAAAATGGTTATTACTCTAATTTTTAGTAAACCAAATCTTATCTTGAACTGTGAGTAAGTATAAGTAGTACATTTAACTGTAAAAACAAAACTGTTAATAATTTCTTATCTATATAATTTGGATTTTGATTCAAATTTTCAACCATTAAAAAACAGCCCTTTCAGTTAATTCATTTTGGGGTTTATATGCAATAAAATCGGCCTCGATAAATAAGGTGAAATTCACTATACAGAACCATGTGATATTCAGTGATGTTCCTCAAAAGATATATCAAACGAATATACCCCGGGTCTTTCTACTATGTACTTTTCTACATTCTAATCGTTTCCTCTATGTCTACCATTGGCATTTTTTAGTTTTTACTTGTATACCATATTCAGTTGGGGTATTGGATAGTGGTAAATTCAAGGATTATTGGATGGCATATACAGGCTAATGAACTGACAGAATGCCTGGTAGAACATACTCCAGTATTGATTTCTCTGAATCCATAAGTCCTAACTAACATACCTATATATGAACTATTATTGGGAATGTTCTCATATATACATAGTATAATCATACTAACCAACAATTCAAAAGAGTCTTAGTTTAGCTTTAATGTCCTGTTTAAGAACTCCTATTCTTACTATTGGAAATGGATTCCAGCAATATAAAATCTTCATTTTCTCAGAACTCAAGTTGATTGAGTCTGAACAAGTAGATTCATGTTTGATATTACTGCAAGAATCCATTTTCAATAGTAAGAATAGGGGTTCTTTAACAGGACATTAGGCTTGCTTTTTAGATATTTTAGTTGATACTAACATTGTATTTCATTTGAATTAGTAAATGGACCACACTAACAATCTGCAACATCATCTTGCACCACTGTACATCACTGTAAAGAGTACTGAACAGTGTGGTTCAAGCACTGCTTTGTACAGTACTGTTCTAACAGCACTGCTTTGAACACAAACTTTAAATTAAGAGGGACTTTTTAAAATGACAAAAAAACTTAACTTGGATGTTCCTAAAGATTGTAACAACTTCAATACTGAAATACTGTAAAATTATCTATTATAAATCGGCAGTAAATATAAGCAACAGATAGCTAATACACATAATGACAAAAGGTACCCCCTATTATGACCCTGACCCCCCCCCTTGGAGATATACCTCTCTTATACATATATAGTTTCAGTGAATGATACATTTCCTGCTGAGTAAAAATGAAGCCAACAAATATAACATTTAGCACAACTGAACCCTGATTACCACCAAGATCAGCAGATGTTAGTTTATATTTCTATATTAGCCAAATGGCTTGCTAAGTATAGATTGAATCTTGATTACAAATGTATGTATAACATTAAGGCAAGGGATAATACCAGCTAGCTACCAGTATATATTCTTAATTAACAAAATGATGTACTGGAACTTTTACATGCCAGAGTCTAGTCTTGCTTCAAGCATCTGGGACCCCCCCCCCCCCATTTACAAATCTAAGAAAGTGGCAGACTCGATGTAAGACTATCCAGAGCCCTGCAAAGTAAAAAGCCTCAGAAGTGAATAAAAATTCATTTTTGGGGCCCTCTCTACAACATTAACATTTAAATTAATACCATGATAATTACCAGGCATAAATACATAAATACAAAATTATTTCTAAATTTTCTCTTAATAATTCAGGCTAAGTGCTAATTAGATATATATGGATTAAAGCTAACATGAAGGGTTTAGTATCCTAAAATAGACAGTGCACTATATATCATCATCAAGGGAATCAAATAGTAGTATGTTAGCTATAAGTATAGATAAGTTAAGATAAGTGAATTGAATTAGAATGCTGGACTTTGAACTTTGATTTGTAATAGTTGTATAGCATTGCACATAATAAAGTAGCATGTTCTATGAGTAACCCATGAAAAACATACGAACAATGTCATTGAATGTCAATTTCTTAACTTATATGGAGTGAAATTAGCAAGGAATAAAATTAGTTACAGAGAATACACAGAATGGTAAAAATTTCAAACGTGTATCCAAATTTAGAGATCTTTTTTTAGTATTTATGACCAGTTACTAATATTCTAAGGGTAATTTCAATAGTATTATAAGTTAACTACTGACAACCTCCAGAAGAATTCCTACTTAACATGAAATTCCTCTATTTTTCATCAAATTTCACCCTAAATACTGTGACCTCATTAATGTCTACTCAGAGGCTAGTTGGATTATATATCTAAGATCTAATAACCTTTTAACATCAAGATAACAGCACTGACGTCAATTAGTTAAAACTAAAATCTATTTTAGAAAATCGATCAAATCATTTTACTCAATTTAGGCCTAAATATAACATTCTAATTTGGGATGAATGATAAGGAGCAGATCTATAATTTTGCCCTTCTATATATTATGTTATCTTACAACAGATGATAGTCTGTCACTTATAATGCCCCCCCCCCTCCCCCTTATTCTGTCATGAGTTCATTTTGCGAAGCTTTGAATACAGAAAGATGCGAGGAGCATCAAAATGCTCACGTTCCCCATTGACACTCAACCATTCGAAATCAATGCTCATAAATACAAATCCTTTAAAAAACTTGAAAACGGATCTACCAATTTGCAGTTTCCCATACTGTATACTAACAATTCTCCACTGCATAAAACTGTGCATACATTAAACATATACGACTTTGACACTCAAACATTCAAAAACCTTGCTCATAAATTTGACAAATCCTTTAAAAAACTTGGTATAGTTAAGTACTAACATGAATAATTCAAACTACTATGCATTTAAATATAGAACCCATGTACATGTATCATATCAATTACTATAACCACCAGCACCAATAAATCCAATGTCACCTTAAAAAATGTTGAAGGACACTCCTCAAAAGAACATCCCATGAGTAAAAATACAAAATGTAGTCAATTTTTACAGTCAAATAATGGGAAGAAATTTGCAGGGAAAAATCAAATCGTTTATATGAAATTTATCTTAACATTGCAGAAGCTGCAAGAAAATCAGACACATTTTATAGATTCCAGAACAGTTGAAGTAAGAGTGAATATTTGCATGGGTTATTTTTAAATTAATCTTAATTTGTGATTTACATGAAAACTGGTATAATCTAACTAAGGTAACAGAGAAAATGCATTATGAACACAGTAACGCAGAAAGTATAAGGCCATTTTCTTTCATTGTGAAAAGACATGTTCATCCTCACATTTTTTCAACATATTAACTTGAATTTTTTGATGGTATGCCAGAGCAAATGAAAGTTACTCTTTCCGATATCGTTTGATTTTGCTCCTTTGAAAGAGAGCTTCATCTTCATAATATTAAAGACTTTGATTCTCATAACACATGCGCCTGATTTTGATGAACAGTGACGAATATTTTCATCATTAAAACAGACTTATGCTAAGTCAAATGAAAACAAAAACCTGACTGAAGCCTATTGTAATATTTCAGAATTTGAATATACAAAATAAACAGTGAATTCTAAGCGGAACACCTCTCAAGGTGAACACTTTTTCAGTCCCATTGATTTAGATGTGGAAATGTGAACACTTGCCAATCTGAACACTTTTTGCCAGTTCCAGTAGCATTCAGATTTGACAGGTTTTACTGTTCTAAAAGTTGGATTGCCTGAGATCAACCATAAGGACATAGTTCTATATATACATGTACAGTAAAGAAGATAATCAATAGATAAGCTACAGCACACTTTCTATTGATCTTTTGAAAATTATCTTTCATCTGAAAAATGGGATCAATTTCCTTGCATCAAAGAACAGAACATTTGGGATATTTAGACCAGCTTAAAACTTGCTCAGTTGAAAACTGATAACACTAGAATCTTGCAGTCAGGGAATACTGTAAATGACTATGTATCGTCAAATCTTAGTATAAATTCTAACACATTGAAGTGCTCTGATGGAATGAGTGTATTACATAATTAAAATGAGTTAATCTGATCAAACGATGTAATTGCTCAGTTTAAACCAAATTATAAGAAATTAAAAATCTTATTCTATAAAATGAAAACGAATGTACATTTGTACTTATAATATTAAATCTACAATCTATATTGTGTATTTTTATTTAAATTGAATGAAAAAATCTCATCGAACACTAAATATAATTCGATAACTGGAATAGAGATGTGGGAATGTTAAATACAAGACATGCCATCGCAGGCAATCAGAGCTATTCTGAAACATTGAATAACTGTGAACTGTTGTTAAATCAAAGTTAAACCATTCAAAGTATTCTGTATTATTTGAGCATTAGAGGATTGAAAACTCCAAATTCAAAAAAAGTTCAGATAATTTTTTAAAGATATTTTCAAATATCGTTAGTATCAAAGATACTGATTTTGTATTATAGTTGAACCATTTAAGACCAGTTAGTATTAGGTATGGGAGGTTTTAGTACATGGGGGTTCTGTTATTGTCTATCAACAAGGCATGCATGGCCTTAGCAAACACATTAACACAGACTTTGTGCTTCAGCCAAGGGGTCTTAATCAGCATATATAACTTGAGATTTAATGTGTGTAATACAGCGTTCAAGACCCCTTAGTGCAACAGCTAACTTATCTGTGAAACAAAACTGAACAATGCTTAAATATTTCTAACTGCGGCTTACCTATTTTCTATAGAAAATCTGTACTCTCTGCTTGCTTTAATAAAACTAGTAAAAAACTCCTAGAATCGATCTTCTTAGAATGTGCGGAGACGTTGTCTCAATAAGTTATGTGAGATGGGTTAAAAAAGATGTTTTACATCAAAAAATGATGACACCCTAAAATTAATAGTCAAACACAAAGCCATAAAAACTTATCACCATGAAGAAAATCAACTCAGTTAAATTCAAAAGATGTTTTGCAGGAGGATATATTATGCAGCAGCAATGTAACCTTTAGTATGTGAAGAACTTTAATGTGAAATTTAGTTAAAAACTGTTTGCTCTAGGTCTTATTTTAAGCGTGTAAAAGTATTACATAGAAATAAACAAATAATATGGCGTCAATTCTGAATACTTCTTGCAATGGAATAGACAAAAGAAATGAACCTTCAGCATGGAAAACGATAATATGGTGAATGGGTTTATTGATTTCAAACTTTGAATATGTAGCAGATCTAAATTTCTTGTTAGAAAAATACAAAAATAATGTTTTGAAATAGTGCATGCAAGGAAATGAAGTAATTTAAGGTCAGGGTGCATGATGGGAAATTTTCTGCATTCCTCAATTGAGTCACATGTTATTTTTCAAACAAGAATCGCTCCTTCCCTTCATTGTCTATATCTTCCAGTTTTGCACAAAGAGTGCACTTATATGCCTAGAAAAGACTTGTGAGAAGAATGTTTTGATAAAGTGTATAAAAAACAAGAAAATTCAGTGAAAAAAATCAGAAAATTTTCAGAAATTTTTTTCACTGAATTTTCTCATTTTTTATACATTTTACAAAACAAACCTTCTCACAAGGCTTTTCTAGGCACAGAAGTGCATTCTTTGTGCAAACTTGGAAGATGAAGACAATGTGGGGAAGGAGTTATTCATGTTTGAAAAATAACATGTGACTCAATTGAGGAATGCAGAAAATTTCCCAACATGCACCCTGTCCTTAACGTTGAAAGATATTTTCCTTCTATAACAGTCCTGCTAAAAATAAAGACTTGTGATTAGCTCAGTTCAAATAACTGGAAAAAAGAAGTGTTTAGATTTCATAAACCAAGGGCAAGGATTGTCATATTGTTTCATATGGAGCCGGGTACTTCAATGCAACTTGTTCATTTGGTTTAAGTTTTTGTTTAAGAATATACATTAGCGCTTCACATGGGAGATTTTGCAATAAGTTCACTGTAGCCAGAACTCTACAGACGACTGAAAATGTATCAACTACCACGGTAGATAATAACCATCCTTGCCCCATGTACAAAAGTGTAGTGTGAAAAGGGAATAATGAAATGTCTCTTGACGGTATACAATACCAATCTTTTAGTTATAAGTGAAAACATACCTGGTAGATCACGAAGAATGTTGTCTTTGCCAATATATTTTGGCCGATTCATGTCGATCGTTGTGAAGAAAATAGCGAGACATGCTCCAAAGAATCCAGCCAAAAGTGTGTAGTAGACCAAGTAGAATAAAGAAATTTGAACTGGAAAAAAATAGAATTAATATGTTGAATTCTCTTATGGTACTTATCTAAAGCATCAGGATTACTGATAGTCTCATAAATTTACTTGGTTTTCAGTTGACCCACTTTCCAGAAATTATGCTAAAAATCACAAATTTGGATGAAAATTCACCCCAATTCAATCGTCAATAATTCGACAGTAATCAAAGAAAATACTCACTCCAACTCATACAATTTCTTCCTAAGAATTCTTTCCTTTCAGAATTCCATAAGAAGTCTACAAAACCGGCCCATTTTGCAGCGGCTCCAGTCTTTTTCGGGGGCAATTGACCGATGTCTTGAGCTCCGGACGCCATTTTTGTGAATGAGAGAGAGGCTGCATGTGAGATAGAACCCGGATGGTGAGAGTGTACTTTCGACTTTGAGCAGACACTATTTTTCTTTACCTGATATCACACTTATGCATCTTCTATTATGATTCAACAATATATAGTTATATTCTTGAGCTTCTTTTCTATTGCTCAAACGGCCTGTAATTTTGCACAAATAGCTAAAATTATATAAAATTATACAAAATGCATGATATATGGAAATATATGTTTTGTCACGTGATAATGACGTCAGTTACCCGCCATCTTGTGGTAAAATTTGTGAAAAATGTTTTGAAAAAGAAAAGATGTGAAACACTCTTCAAATTTATACCGTTCGAAATGTAGAATACGTACTTACGTCCATACAGGGTGAGTTAAGATATTTACTTGTTTTTGCTGTTTTACATTGGTTATTTGAATTAAATAACGGGTTCGAAGATGTTGTTATCAAACATGTTCAGTGTTCACTGTTTGTTCTCTTTTTTGTTTTCAAAAATTTATTTCTGCCTCTGTTGTTGTTCACACCTAGATAACTACAAAGATGTGTTTGTTATTGTTACGGTTTTTAATGCTTTAGTTTATTGTCATCTTTTATCATTATTTTGTAAAAGTTTGATTTTCAACCTATTTTTTCCTCAGGGGCTTGTCACGAGGCGTCGGGCAAGCCCTCCAATGAGTCTACTGCTTATTAATAGTATTAAGGGTGGTCGGTTTTGATGCTACCTGAAATTTGTAGAAAATGATTGTTAGATATATCAAGTAAAAATATATGGAATCCTTTCAATAATCGAAATGCTGATTCAAACAACACTAAAGAGTAAACTTACCTAAAATGGTAGCAATCCATCCACTTGTTGCTGAGAAATCTGAATAATTTGTTAAGAAGTGATTACACTGCAAGTACCGAATTTTTTTGCAGCCAAATTATTACCTCCAGAGTCGATTTCTTCCCCAAGACACGTCCACTGTTAAAAATTGGTAGTTCCTAGAGTTCTTTGTTTCCTTAGGTTCATTCCCGTATGTTATTTTTAACGAAAGACAGCCTATAACGACTGCTATACGCAAAAGGATGCATGAAATTAAGTTTCGAAACTGAAAGTTGAAAAATGGCGACTTTCCCGTCTTCTGTGCGCATGCGCAGCGCATGCGCAAAAATGAAAGTACTTCATTCCCACAATTCAGAAGGATTCGAATTACTTTTCGGCGGTTGGTTCGGTTATACTTAGATACCAAATGAAAGATTATTGCCAAGGAATGGAAAACGTATTTCGAAGATGAGAGTTATTTGTTTTATCACTAAAGGAAAATATTTCCGCAATATTAGGTGCATCATGGGAAGGGACTGCTGTGAAATAATGAACGCAAGTGACATCTATCTAAAAATATATGTGTAGTTATTGCGCATGCGTTCATATAATATGAACTAATCAAATTGCTGGATTGAACGCACCTGCGCATAGAACACGGGAAAGTCGCCATTTTTCAACTTTCAGTTTCGAAACTTAATTTCATGCATCCTTTTGCGTATAGCAGTCGTTATAGGCTGTCTTTCGTTAAAAATAACATACGGGAATGAACCTAAGGAAACAAAAAACTCTAGGAACTACCAATTTTTAACAGTGGACGTGTCTTGGGGAAGAAATCGACTCTGGAGGTAATAATTTGGCTGCAAAAAAATTCGGTACTTGCAGTGTAATCACTTCTTAACAAATTATTCAGATTTCTCAGCAACAAGTGGATGGATTGCTACCATTTTAGGTAAGTTTACTCTTTAGTGTTGTTTGAATCAGCATTTCGATTATTGAAAGGATTCCATATATTTTTACTTGATATATCTAACAATCATTTTCTACAAATTTCAGGTAGCATCAAAACCGACCACCCTTAATACTATTAATAAGCAGTAGACTCATCGGAGGGCTTGCCCGACGCCTCGAGACAAGCCCCTGTGATTTTTTCAATTGTTCATTGATTTCCTTATTTTCATTGTTTGGGCTGTTGTTTTGATCACGGAGCTGAAGACATAGATTTAAGCTTATTTTATTTCAGGACGTATAGTCCACAACGTAAGTGTGGTCTTAGCATACGATAAGATTTGAGCCATTTGAAACTTGTGGAATGTTGTCTCAGCCTTTTCGTCGCTTAGTTTTCATGGCCTAATTACTGTTCATGCCTTGCATCAGTGTGAAAGATAATACCATTGTTGTCATACTAAAAGAACTAATGGCTAATATTAGGCTGAAATCATTAGTTCAGGTCTGTGAAGATGAACTCTTTCAGGCCCGTAGCCAGGGGGGGGGGGAGGCTCTAGACTATATCCTATTTAGTCTGAATTATATTCAGACTATAAGGCACCTATGTTAAAGTTTGGTAATTTTTAATATTTGTTTACATAGGAAGTGCTATTCAAAATGGCCGATTAGGTAAAATTAATTTGCACATTTGTTACTTCAACTAGCCTTATTTCCACTTTACAATATGCTGTGTTACTTTTTATTGCATTTAATTGTACCTTACTACTTAATTGAAATTTTGTAATGTTTATTTTATTGAAGAAATGGTTCCTCTAATTGATAATTTTGTGCAAAAAATTTCACTGCAATTTCCACAGGAAAATAGTACATCATAACAGACTGACTTCTAGTCAGTCTGTTGGATACATACTACTATTTTTTTCAAGGCCTGTCTGCGTCGCTAACATGATAAATATAAGAGTTAGCTGACGTTTGGGAGTCTGACTTACCTTCTAAAGGTTAGAACCCGAATCTTAATGAAACTATATCACCTTTGTTGCGTCGATGATGATGCATAAACATAGCATTTGATAGAAATTAGCGTAAATGCTTTTCCGACTTTTTCATTTTTCATCAATGTTGACTTCCGGGAAGGCGTTGTAGTTATCACGAAATAACGCATTGACCCTTGAACTTTACTTTGTTGACGTGTCAACCAAGCATGTCTGGTGTGAAAATTAAAAGAATATTAAGCAATGTTCTACATCCGCCAAGCTAAGTGAAGTAGTCCATATTAAAAATTACCAATTTCAAGTGAAGTACGCAACGAACGAAACTGCGTGATCTACACTCCCACTATTGGTCTGAATGAAATGCTACGTAGAAATATGAGCCGTCTGCTGTATTAGTCGATTAATAGAGAAAGACCTGTTGGTGATGCTTTATAATTTAGACCAAAACATTGAAGAACAAACGAACCTGTAAATCGTGAAAACAACGAACAAATATTCGGTTTTCACATTTGTTCGGTAATTTTTCGTATTGAAACTTCCGGAACTTACAAGGAAATCATTCATTTTCTCGATCCATGATTTACCTCTTGGATGTTGTGGCAAATGCTCCATGGTTGACGGAACAAAGGTGATATGGTTTCATTAAGATTCGGGTTCTAACCTTTAGAAGGTAAGTCAGACTCCCAAACGTCAGCTAACTCTTATATTTAGCATGTTAGCGACGCAGACAGGCCTTGAAAAAAATAGTAGGGGGGGTTCGGGCGAACTTTCTTTCAAAATCATGCAGTTTTTCACAATTCTGACTATTTTTTGAGGGATTTTTGGCCAAATTTGCCAAAGTGAACCCCCCTAGATTTTTTTTTGAAAATTCTGGCTATGTGCCTGTCTTTTGAGCTACTCTCTGTTAAGGTAAGTCTGCATGTTCAGAATTTTGCTGCAATCCTCAATTGAGTAACATATCATTTTTCAAATAGGAATCACTCCTTTCCCACATTGTCTACATCTTTTAGTTCTGTATGAAAAACAAGAAAAACTTGAAGATGTAGACAGTGTGGAGAAGGAGTGATTCCTATTTGAAAATAACATGTGACTCAATTGAGGAATGCAGTAAAATTCCAAAACATGGAGACTTACCTTAAGCATTAAGAATAGCAATCAGTTGACATTGAAAAAATAAAGAGTCCCCTGGTGAATGAGACCCTCACATGCCTTCTGGATGTTAGTGAACACTCACAAATCTAACCGTATTGTGAGCACAGAGAGAAGTGAAATGGACTTTAGTTGGAATTCCACCAGAAAGTTTTCCATTTGAAAAAATCAAAATCATACTATACATGTACAAGCTATTTTGAAACTGTTTCCCAAAATGATTATAAAATAAAAGTTAACATGTAAATCATAATTTATATCTGTTCTCATTAAGTTAGTCAGAAATTCTAAGAAAAATCAGGCTAGGTGCACAGTCTATTATTTGATATTGTTTTCCATAGGTAATGACCATGGTCCACGCAAGGATACCAGCGCCAGTGACTGCGCTGTACGTGTTTGCAGTCCTTAACCTTATGGCCTTGTTTCATGTTACTCTAGTGAAACCCCTGCTAGATGCACAGTCTATTATTTGATATTGTTTTCCATAGGTAATGACCATGGTCCACGCAAGGATACCAGCGCCAGTGACTGCGCTGTACGTGTTTGCAGTCCTTAACCTTATGGCCTTGTTTCATGTTACTCTAGTGAAACCCCTGCTAGATGCACAGTCTATTATTTGATATTGTTTTTCATAGGTAATGACCATGGTCCATGCAAGGATACCAGCGCCAGTGACTGCGCTGTACGTGTTTGCAGTCCTTAACCTTATGGCCTTGTTTCATGTTACTCTGGTTGAAGCAGATGTGGCAGTGGTAAGATATCCTGAATGCTATATTATTGTTATGTGTAGAATAGATAAAGTGTTCAATCGAAAAAAAGATTGGTGCTTGCATATACTGTAGACTGGGTTAATTCGGAGCTTCTTAATGCCATTTTTGGCATATTGGCAGCTATTTAATTTGGTGGATATGCAAAAAAATGTTAAAATTACGCGCTGTTTGCGAATTATCATGTAAATGGGCATGTTTGGCTATGTTCATTTTTTCTTTTGAGGATCACTGGCAATATTCACCACGTTTGTACATTTTTGTGAGATCATCCATTATATTTTGCACCTCGATCGATGCTGCAACTATACCGCGCTCTTCCTTTCTAGTTTTTCCCTGAGTATAAATGAGTGACTGACCAGTTCTGAGCCAATTTATGAGGGACATTTTTTCATATTTTTTGAAAAAACTAAACCCGAAGTGACCTTAATACACTGGACGAAATACCCTAGATAATTCCCGGGGCTTCATTCTAAATTTTGGCGAAGATTTATATTGGTGAATTTCTCAATTTTGCCAAATTCACCATATTAAAGCGGGCACCAAATTAACCCAATCTACAGTAGCATCAACAACTTGGAAATTAAGAGATATTTCATTTTTCATGTGGGTATGCTCTGACACAAATTCACCCAAAACTGTAATACAGAAAATCTGTCTTTCTTAAAATTTATTTTTCATAATTATCATTAACTCAGATTCAGCATCTGACTGAATGTAGAAAAATTAAGAAAGCTCATCAAATATGGATAATCTTTAGGCCCAGTAGCCAGTTTTTCCTAAGGGGTTCAAAAACTTCCAGAGGGGGGACTCAAATTTGATAAAAATCATTTGAAAAGTGCTCGAATAATGAAAACTGCATGATTTTGAAGGAAATCTTTATCCAGGGGGGGGGGGGGGGGGGGGGGGTACACACAGTTTCAGTTATATGACATAATTCTATTTTTCACTGGAATTTCATGAGGGAGGGTTAGGAATTCTATAATCTACTTTAGAAAAAAATTTTCATAAAGAAAATGTTTTTTTTCTGATATAATCATTGAATTTTAATGGAAGAAAGGTCAGAAAATGAAGAACGATGAGACAATAAGAGTCAATAATCTTATATTTCACTGAACAATCAAACAATATATGTAACTCTGGACATGATTTCACAAATCTGATTGGTTAAAACAAGTCATGTGACTTGCATTGATGTCACCTCTCTTGTTATAGTCTGTTTGATAGTCACCTTTGTAAATTCTGTTGAACTTTGAATTCAACTTAACATGAAGTGAAGTGCTGTTACAAGAACAATACATGTACATGAACCTCTTATCTTAAATGACCAAGTTGATATTTTTATTTGTCACAAAATGTTACGCAGGCCCATAGCCAGTTTGCCAAGTGGGGTGGTAGTGTTTTAAAGAATCCAAATGGGGTTCAAATTTGACAATTTTGACTTAAAAGCACATGAAAGGTGCTCAAAATAATGAAAAACTGAATGATATTGAGATAATTTTTGGCCAGGGTGAGGGGTCGCTCCAAATCCCCCTGGTTACATTTGATTGACCAAAATTACCCTTGGCTTTGAGGTATGCCCACATATAGTTTTAAATAATTTTCCCCATTCTTCCGATGTATTTAGCATGTTATCGAAAAATGCAATGATTTCAGATTGCCTCCTTTCCTAATAGGTATAGTAAAGCCTGTATAAGTGCAGCCCATAGCGAGGGGGATGGCAACCCCCCTCCTGGCCAATTTTTTTGTTCAAAATCATGCACTTTTTCACTATTCTGAACACTTTTTTAGTGATATTGGACATTTTTGGAATAAAAATTCAAAATTCTCAAAAGTGACCCCCCCTGAAATTTTTTAAAAGAAAATGTTAACAGAAATAAGTTTCACAATCTTAAATTAATTGTACCCACAAATACATGGGATAAAAAATAAGACAATTTGTTTCAACAAAAATAGGATTTGTTATCACAGGCTAGATAATGATTTTAACTCTTATGCATGACTATTGTGAAAATTGTGAAGTAGAACACCTCTAGAAATGGAACACCTACTGTATGTTGAACACCAAGACCATGCTAAATGAATCTCTTAAAAAATACATTTTTTGACTCCCCTATTTAATAGTGTTATGATTATTAATCAAATTTTTGTGAGCTGTTTAAAAAAACTGGAGTTTTACTTGACCATAGTGACAGTGTCAAAGGTTGAAATTATTTTAAAAATTCATTTATAACATCCATCCTTTTTATTTTCAGCTGAACTTCAATAATGAAACTGTTCAGCAGTTTTATGATTACCCAGCAAACTTTGGTCCATCAATACATGGTGATGGTCTAAGGGTAAGTACATCCACTGAAATTTACTTCCCATCATGCATCATTTTATTCTCACTTATTCCCACTTCATAACACAAATTCAGAAGAGTATTTTCAGAACACTAAAAATGCAAACTAAATTGTACATGTTTTGTATAGAACCATAAAATGAATTGTGAAAATTGTGAAAGTTGTTGGTGTACCTGTGATTTCGAAATTATTTTAAAAATGTTTGACTTGATTTAACCCTTTTTATTACAGGGGTATCTTGTATTAGCAAAGCCGCACAATGGCTGTTCCATTCTTGAGCCCCCTCCCTCACATTTTCAACCAGGGGCTAAGTGGATTGTGATCATACGTAGGACGCCGTATGCCTCAAATTGTGATTTTGTTACAAAGGTAAGATTGTGTGACATGTTTCCTGTTTAAAAGTGAAATTTGGCAAACATATTTTAATCGGAGGGAGCATTAGATCAAACCTACAACATTTCATGATACAAAAAATTTATAGAAGAAAGGCATTTTACCCCATATCATTTATTTGAACTTTAATATCTGTTATTTGTAAGAAATCTTTAATTTGAAATGTGCGTAATCAGTCAATATACAGTTACATCTCTACAAAATACAGCTACCTTATCTGAATTTCTGTTACTGCATTTTCTGCTTGAATAAGTAGCTGCCTTCTATTTTATAGCAGATTCCTACAAAAGGCAGTGATGCTTCCTCTTAGGTCATTGAACTCTAAACAGCACCTAAACTGAAATTATCTATTTAGTCAGAGTGTAGCGATTATTACATCTATCATCCTGGGCACAGGGTACCTCTCTGGGTACATAGACAGTAAAACGCTTGGTTGAATTACAGTTGCCATCCTTCAAATCTCCGTCTGCAAAACAGTTGCATTATGGGTAAAACAACTGAAACTGATTGATTATTCCACCTTGTGCTTATTTCAGGTCCGTAATGCTCAAAAGTCTAAGTATGATGCGGTGATTATTCACAATGTAGAGTCCCAGAAAATATTCCCGATGCCAGATGATGGGACCGGTAAGTTAATGGTTAAAGTTTCCACCTGTCACAATTTATACTCAAAAAATAATTTCTATGGGCTTTCAAGAGACCCCCCCATGCCTGAAAATGAGATTAGTAAGTTAATGGTTAAAAATTTACATTCTGCTCACATTTATGTTTGTATCTCAAAAAAAGATTTGTAAAGTTTATCTCATAATTTATCCAACCTGAATCTGATAAGGTGATAATTGCTCATGCCCCATGGTGGAACTGGTAAGTTAATGGTTAAAAATGCCCATCTGCTAATTGTAATTTATCAGCACAATAGACAATCTTTCTTAAAACAACTGTTGAAAATCATCTGTTTCATCCGATAATGACACTCATAATTACTCATAATCACTGTTAGGGGGACTGACATGATAAGAATCAATAAAAAAGATTTATTTATTTATTCATTTATTTATTTAAGTGTCACCTATCTAAAATAGCCAGCCCTACCTGGGCTTATGAGACACATTTTACATTAGTTACATTTTTTACAATACAAATATAATATAAGATATTCAAATATGCCAAGTCTGTCTCAGCCAATCATCTTCTAGTATTTCAGTGCATATATTAATTCAAGTTTTATGTATTTCACAGTGCATTATGTTTTCATAAAGAACTTAACAATGTCAAGTAATGGTATATTCAAATTGCAAAAAGAGCCTTGTATCATTCTTAACTCGATTTAAAAGCATTCATGTGTTTACAAAATCCATTCTGATATGAAATTGAGCTCCATGTGTATTGTGTGTACGGTTTGGTAAGCACTCATGCTTTTAAATTTTCCATAAAAATACACAGGATTCTTTATTCCTTTAAGAAATATTCACTTATTCTTTGTTTCCAGCAAGAGATATAAAGATTCCAGCAGTTTTTGTTGGCGAAGATGTTGGCATATTTCTCGAGAGAAACTACCTCTATACGTCGAAGTAAGTAAAAAATGGTAATGGTAAATGTTTTTTTAGATGAAGATGAGAAAGTAGTCCAAATATTTTCACCAAAATAATCTAACTTATATTTATCCATTCTACAATAATTCTGTTTGAAATGTGTGTAATGGGAATATCTTTATTGTATTTGCCAAACTGAAGGAACAACAAGACTTGTTGATCCAGCAAGAATTATTAAATATAAAGTAGAAGATGTATTACAGAAAAATCACTAGAAATTGGTGCCATCCTCAGAGAGATATGTAAACTTTTTGATCACCCCTCGGATGTAAAATTCTGGCTGTTAGTTTTACTGTTTATACTCCTTCTGAATATTTATTGAACAAAAAGAATTCTCATATGAGCTTCGTAATGGTCGTAGGAGACTTCATAGAGCTAATGTACCCCCTCCCTATAAGCTTTTATATAAGACAATGTACCCATAATGCCTAGACAAGCCTAGCATAGCCCTTATATGAGCAATTCCTCAAATCCCACGTACTTAAAGAAGTCTGTCAGGTAGAATATTCATATTTTCCACCAAAACATTATTGCATCAATAATGTTTTGTTATTCTGTTAATTAAACTCTATGAATCTATCCAATCTCTTGTTTGCTTTCAGTTTTACGATCCTGCTTGATAGAGATTTTCCCATAGTCATTACCATAGACAAGATTCTTCTCCCATTCGCAATTGTTGTCGCAATCTGCTTCGTTCTCATGCTTGGATGTATAGTAAGTATACTTTTGATGTTTTTTCAGTTATACGGTGATTTTGACGTCACGCAGTTCGTTTGACCCGGATTTGTATCTTCTACCGTTTGCAATAGTTGTCGGCATATGTTTCATCCTTATGTTGTTCTTTATGGTAAGTCGATAGACAAGATGCAAGTAAAAATAATCTTGAGTGTTCTCATTGATTGGTCAAAGTGATATCATATTTGAAATCTACATGTAAAGTTACAACCATAAATTTCATTTCATCTGAGTCACAATTATCTCACACAGACTCCCTAGGGCATATATGTGTGGTAGGATAACGTAGCTTGATATCTGAAGGTAGAAACAATTCCCCGTACTTGTTTTACAAGGGGGATGTGACTACATTTCATTTCATTTGAGTTACAATTATCTCACACAGACACCATAGGGCATATATACGTGTGGTAGGATATCAACTTTGAAAATTAAATTTTCTTTGAAAATGTGACTTGTAGTTCGGGTAGATTCCCCATAGACCCCATGTCATGAAATCACATAAAGTGAAATATCTTTTCTTGTTTTGGACAGATAGTATGTTCTCTTATTGCACAATTACTCTACTATAACTGCCATGTTATCAATATTTCAGATCGGCAAATGGATTATGGACTGGCGCAAAAAAAGGCGATCAAGATTATCGAGACAAAACTTGAAAAAACTGCCGACAAAGAAATTCAAAAAAGGTAAAAAAATATTTATTTTTTGAATATTGGAAATACTTGTCATTGAACTCCAGTTCTTCATCTAGTTCTCGTTTACTGGTGTTTTTGAGAAAATATGTGTTTGTCAGAAATGGGGTAAATTGGAAAAATATTTCTTGAGAACATTTGAATAATCATAACGTTTTAGACTAAATGTACTAATTGTAAATTTTTAATGAGGTACATTAGCTTTTGATTAATTATATTTACTTTGAGTAATTTAATTGAATCAGTCAAATATTTGAAATTATAGAAATAAAGATTTTGAATCATACTTACTCAAAACAAATAGATTTTTGTAATATATGTGTGATAGGCCCTTGAAAGCCCACCCGTCCTTCTAAAAATGATTGTATATCAATACTTTAATAATCTAGGTGATCCCTATGAAACCTGTGCAATCTGTTTGGATGACTATGAGGAGGGTGATAAACTCAGGATTCTGCCCTGTCAACATGGTAAGTATTTATCAAACCCTGCATGTATAGTGAATTGTTATGTCACCACCAAAAGTGGTGACATATTGTTATGGTCTCCGTTTTTTTGCGACGGCGGTTGGTGGTTGGCGTCCGGCGTCCGGCGGTTGGAGGTTGGCGTCCGGCGTCTGTAACAATTTCTTACAACTTCCTATAACTTAACAAATACTGTTTAGACTGACTTCAATTTTTTTCTAAATCATCTACATGTTCTCAGAAGTTCAAATCTGACTTTAGATTTGACATTTGACCTTCAATGACCTTCTCAAGGTCAAAAAGGTCTTTTTTCAACTTGCTTCACATTGACTAAATTTTTTTTCAAAATTATCTACATGTTCTCAGAAATTCAAATCTGACTTTAGATTTGACTTTAGATTTGACATTTGACCTTCAAATCTGACTTTAGATTTGACATTTGACCTTCAATGACCTTCTCAAGGTCAAAAAAGGTCAAAAAGATCTGTTTTCAACTTGCTTCAAATTGACTAAATTTTTTTTTCAAAATCATCTACGTGTTCTCAGAAATTCAAATCTGACTTTAGATTTGACTTAAGATTTGACATTTGACCTTCAATGACCTTCTCAAGGTCAAAAAAGGTCAAAAAGGTCTTTTTTCAACTTGCTTCAAATTGACTAAATTTTTTTTTCAAAATCATCTACGTGTTCTCAGAAATTCAAATCTGACTTTAGATTTGACTTTAGATTTGACATTTGACCTTCAATGACCTTCTCAAGGTCAAAAAAGGTCAAAAAGGTCTGTTTTCAACTTGCTTCAAATTGACTAAAAAAAATTTTCAAAATCATCTACCTGTTCTCAGAAATTCAAATCTGACTTTAGATTTGACTTAAGATTTGACATTTGACCTTCAATTACCTTCTCAAAGTCAAAAAAGGTCAAAAAGGTCTTTTTTCAACTTGCTTCAAATTGACTAAATTTTTTTTTCAAAATCATCTACATGTTTTCAGAAATTCAAATCTGACTTTAGATTTGACATTTGAACTTTATTCAGACTTGTCATATTTAATAAAAAATTGACCTGTAAAAGGCAGCCATCTTTGATTTCCCAGAACAAGGCAGATTTCACTTGATTAATGACCCAGTTCTTGTTCACAATGGGTGTAAACATATTTTTGCTAAATTTCATGCTTCTATCACAAAGTGCACAGACATTTCAACATTTTCACAACTATAAAAGACTCAAATGACTCATTTGGCATTGTGCGAAGCTCATCTAACATGTCCATGTTATACTCTCATAGACAGAAAAGAATTTTTCATGAGTACTTAAATAGGTGAGCATGGGACAAGAATCTAGTATTTGAATAGAAAGGATTAGTTTTTAGCACACATGGTTAGATGAAGTAGGCATTCATCTGTTATCCTGTCTATCTGTAAATCAGTGATACAAATTGAAATATTGAGTATTCAGATTATAAGATAGTAAACACACTTTTTCCAGTAACATTTGTATTCTATTCTCTCCCATGTTGAAGAACTCGTAATTGTAAATTATATCACTGTATTTCAGCCTACCATATGAAGTGTGTAGATCCGTGGCTTACGAAGAACAAACGTGTCTGCCCCATTTGCAAACGTCGTGTAATTCCGGGGGACCATTCAGACACCGAATCTGAAACTGATGACGAGGTGCCAGATGCGACTGAAAGCACGCCATTGTTGGTTGAAAGTCGCGGGACCCTCAACAGGGGACGTAGTTCCACATTTGAAAATTCTGGTAAGTCTGTTCTTTGATAACTCAGTTCTAAGAATAAGTTGGTGACATTTTGAAAATATGCTTGCAACCACCCAGAAACCTATTTTCAGTTTTATTTGTATTGCACCAGCTGTTCCATTTTTCATCCAGTGTAAATCTAAAATCAATCGAATAATAATACGAAAAAAGGTTACACATTGCAAGAATAATTGTAAGATGAACATGTATTCACCTCAAAACTATAGGATGAATATTATACAAATATTTAGGGCTAGTGGAATATCATCTTGTGAAAGTGTCACAGGTATTCACCGAAAATCGAATTAAATGTTTGTTTTATTATTCACTGTTATATTCCTCACTCACCTAAATGGAAAAACAAACCATTGATGTCTAATTAATAATAACAATGTAATCCTGGGTATATATGAAATTGAAATTAAACTGGACTGAGTCACGCGACTTCTGTTGTATATCGCTTGTTATTTTTTACATATGTGTGGGACATGGACCAATCAGAGAGTGAGGAATATGACAGTGATATAATAATTGTATATATTGGTACAATTAAAAATTATTTCAGGATTACCAGGAAGTAGATTACAGGCAGCCACTATGCCTCCCCCTATCAACAATATGGCAACAAACACTGTTACCATGGAAACAGAGGAGGAGGAGGAGGAGGGAGCTATAGGGGGTCAGAGTATCTCTGATTCACCCCCAGAGCTTCATATACAAGAGGAAGTCTCAGAACGTGAACCTCTCGTTCATTCTAAAATCAAACGAAACCGCTCAGATGAGTCTGAAAGGCGTATTAAGAAACGTGAAAAACGACGTCAGAGAGAGGCTAGTATTCAAAATGAGGCCGGCAATGAAAATGTAGGATTTGTCGATGATTCTGGATACCACGATAGCGTCTCTAGTTCAACTGATGTTAAACAAAAAAGCAAACGGCCTACGGACAAAAAAGATAAAAAGAAGCGGGAAAAAAGAAAACGAGCGCGTAGTGAGGAAAACTTGAATGAAAATAATGGGACTGGACATGCTTCAAATTCCCCAAATGACGAACATGGAAATGAAGATGTGAAAAATGACCATTTAGATGTGAAGGTTCTACAAATTGATAAGAAAGCAGATAATAATGATGGAGTATCTAAACTTGTATAATAGACTATAAAAAACTACGTAAAACTATATGTAGTCTATTTTACCTTATTCATATTTTTTAAATGTACTGTCTGATGTCATTAAGGTGGGACCTTGGTCATCAATATGTAGATTTTTGAACCTAAGGACTAGGTGCCACCTTAATTGTTGGAAATAAGTGTACAGATATTTTTTAAAGCAATGTACTCCTTTAATTATCTAAATTATGCAAGAGCATTAGAAATGATTACATTTATGATGTCAGATATGATGACATTTATGACATCAGAATTGATGACATTAACTCAAATCTATTACATTTATGATGAAATCATTTATTTATTTATAGAGTAGTTATCATAGAACACTTCTACATCTAGTACAGTTCTAATACAGTTAAGTTTGTAATCTTCACACAATCAAATATTATATCACTGACCACTCCTTTGCCAAAATTTCAGGATTTTCATTGCTTTATTTTCAAGCTTAAGCATGAGCTTTTATTCATGAACCAATATTGTTCTGTTTATTTCAAAACTTGTATCGATTTACAAAAATGAATTCGACTTTAGTCTTGCATTGAGCTTGAAAAATATTATGAGGGTTTGGCCAACAAAATGTGGTATTATGATTTCAATTTATAAAAATGGCATTTCAATTTATCAATTTTGGCAATATGTCATCCATGCTAGCAAAGTTTGGCAATATTTCATCAATGTTAGCAAAATGTGGCAATATTTCTTCAAAATTGGCAAAATTCGATCATATTTCATCAATGCTGGCAACGTGGCAGTAGGACTCTCACTTTAAGTACATGTTATGCATTCGGAGGTTTTGGATACATGATTTATTCCTAGGGAAATATGTGTATCTCCCAAAGGACCCATGCAGGATAAACTGTATATTCGGAACCAACAGAGCATAACAGATGTGTTCCAAATCTACTGAGGATCTAAGAACATTTCACCTGAAATTTCAGTAGATATGGAATATGTACATGTGTATTATATTCTTAAATGGGTCAATCTTATATACATATGTACATCATGGTTCCGATAGGAAAGTACCAATTCAAATAATCTGTGCGAGGCATTGGATGATGTTTATGTACATTATTACATCCGCTTATGCAGAGTGAGCCAAAAACTGTTGCCCTGAATATAATTGAAAATAATGTAGTTAACAGTTCTTTGGCCCACCTTATATTACACATTCAGATTGGTTTTTATTAAAATGAAATTTCAATAAAATAAAATAAATTATGTTCTTGTATAAAAAGACATATTTATGAAGATCTAGATTGATTTAGATAACAATGGCTGTATTATATAAGCTAAAAATGGTCAACAAAAGTAGTAATATTCACCCATTATTCTAATTATGATAATCCATATACTTGTACTATTAACTGAGGCCAGTAAGCTGTACATAATTCAATCTAGATGTTCACTCTACTATACCTTGCATTTAGTGTTCATGAGCAACCCATTTGGCTTATTAGTAATAATTATGTATTTGTTTTTATTTGTCTGTTCTGTATTAATGGTTTATCGGTTGAATGTTAGATGCTAATAACATGAATAAGGCACTTTCAAAAATATACTACACAATACAATTAGACAAACAGAGTATCTTATGCATTTCTAGGTGTTAGGTATAGTAGAGTGTGTTAAGCTACATGTTTTAAAGAGAACTCTTTGTGAATGTGTATTATTAGGACTCCAGGGGTTCATGTCTCCTATCAATTGTTTTTTATCGTAGAACGTAATTGATTTATTTTCCTATTTTCATGCTCAATTGAGAAAGTAAAAACTATGAGGGGGGAATTTATCCCAAGATGGCAACGAGGAATGTAATTCTACATGTTCATAGCATACAAGTTCTCTAATTAAAAATAAGCGGCTTTAATCTCCATCTCCCTAATATTCCTAAATCTGAATGAATGGTCTCAAACACATCACATGGTGTACATAGGGCCAAATTTACACTCCCTCCTTTAAGATTGGTACCTGTATTTTCCAGTGGATAGCATTTCAAAGCCTATTGATGTCTGAATTTGAATTTTCTTTCTCAGTTACAATAGTTACGACAAATGTGGATAAATTTGATTATTTTTTTAATTACCCCAAAATAAACAGGCCTTTATAAGTAATCCACAGGGGACTTTGTTGCTAAACTTATGGAGGGGAGTGTACCAGAGCTAATACAAGGCTGCTTTTCTAATTATGGCTGAATTCACACAGTGCATTTTAACCAATTCATCAAAATATGTTAAACTCTAAATCACAATTTTTTAACCAATTTGTAATGTGTTAAACCCTAAATCACAATTTAGAGTTTAGATTAAAAGTGTTCAGAAATACAACGTTTTTATACATAGTATACCACATATACCATATTGTATTCAAAGATAAAATTAATTTTTGTACATTGTTCATTATGTGCAGTATCTAGCATTGTGCATGTACACTCCCCAAATAAGTTAGGGAATTGGATTTCTTCAAAACAAGCCAACTGCCATTTGAGTTTAGAACGCTGTTAAAAGGAATGAGGCCTGCATCAGAATTCTACAGAAAAATATCTTTTCACAAGTTTTTTGCAAAATAAGTATAATATCCCTTTTTTGCCTCACATATCAAGTCTCGCCTCAAATATTAATTAAGTCTCGCCTCAAATAATCATTAAGTTTCGCCTCACATACTTAACATTTCTCCTTTTCTGATCTTCAAACTATTGTCCTCGATCCGTCCTTAAACATCTCAAAATTTTAAAAACTCCAACCCTGTTTTCGTATGGTACTGGCTTCATCAAAGGTTAGAATACTATAGATTTGGTAGAACAGTATTCAATCAAGAAATTGAATTGCTAAACTTAGGACAGGGAGTGAACAGTCCTTTGATATGAATGAGACATGAATGTATGTAATATATAAGATCTACGCTATATATATTTACATGAATATTTGCTGTACATCTGTTAAAATGGATATAGAAATACATAATAATGATTGTTATATAATCAGAAACAATCTTTGTTTTCAATGTCAGTAGCACATGTAACACTTGGACAGTCCAAGGTGAGGCAAAAATCATAATTGATGCTTAGTCTAGCTACAAGTCTTGTGACACCACCCCACAACTGTGTGGGAAGGTGTGTAGTCAAGACGGGGGGGGGGGTCACAGAGGCTTGTAGTTACACTAAAAGATGCTATAATACCATCATAATTATCCCAACGAACGAAGTTCGAGGGGGATATAGGAAAGCCGTTCATCCATCCATCTGTCTGTCCTGGAAATAACTCAAATACCGATTAACGGATTTGATTCAATTTTTAAGGCTTATGCCTTATGGGTGTAGGACCTCTGCTTGAGAAGAAATTTTAAATATGGCTGCTCAATTTAAAATGCTTGCCATTTTTTGTAAAAAATGTAATCTATGATAACTCAATTACTAGTGGACGGATTTGGTTCCAATTTTATATTATGCTGATGCCTAGGGACAAAGGAGCTTTTATTCAAGAGATTTTCAAGATGGCTGCTGATTTTCAAAATGGCCACCATTTTTTGCAAAAAAACTCAAATACCAGTTAACGGATTTCATCCAAATTTTATAAGTTGATGCCTGGGGACACAGTTGCTCTACCTGATTGAGGAAACATTTTCAATCAAATTACTAAAATAACTTGCACAGCTTAGTGTATGTTTGGAGTTCCCAAGGTTGTTCCTACAGAATAAAAATCATTTTAATGCATATATTTGCATTTCTATAATCTTTTTTTCACTTGACTTAAATCCAGTCACGTCAGCTTCTGTTGCAATTATCAGATTATGGCACAACAATCGCTTTAATCCATTCGGTCGTGTATAGTTTTTCGATCTACTTATTTGTGTTAAACTTTAGAGCTCTTCATAATGCCATCTGCATCTACATGGAAACAGGACATTATAACTGAGATCTATACAACTTGAACGTTTTGTAAAACTAATATGAAGTAAATATAGCTGTTTCTCTATATGTACTCTCATTGCACGTTAACTCTAACCTTGAACAGTAAAACATTAATATGAGTGAGCATCTCTCTAGTGTCTAGATGGGAGCGGGGTATTTTTAAATTAGTTTTCAGTCTAATCATTTGACATTTAAGTGCCCAGTACAATATAAAGATAAAGAAAATACCTTTCTCAAAATATTCAGAGTTTCAAACCAAGGTGAACAAACACATAAATGCCTGATTTTCTTGCTATTTATTGCTGTACATTGCATATAAACGTATTACTTACAAAATATAATTTCCTTATTTCAACAATGTTTCAAGAGAACATTAAAGACGTATGTTACCATGAGTATACACTCTACTATACCTAACCCCTAGAAATGTAAAAGATATTCTGTTTGTCTAATTGTAGTATGTTTTTGAAAGTACCTTGTTAATATCTAACAGTCATCCGATAAACCATTAATAAGGAACAGACAAATAAAAACAAATAGCATAATCATTACTAATAAGCCAAAAGGGTTGCTCATGAACACCAAATGTAAGGTATAGTAGAGTGGTATAGCCAGGCATGAGGCAATTGCCTCACAAGATTATTACATAAATACATTTTCAGACTTTTTCTAAAACTGTGGGAATGAAGTCCAAATGTGGCCATATGGCAAATACCCCTCCAGCCAAAATATGCCTTGCCCATTAATTCTTGCCTTGCCTAATTTTTGATCCTGCTCATGTCCCTTCATACTGCTCATTAGCATTACACTGGGACACCTTTCATTCTAACATCCATGAGGATATTAAAGGCACCTGTTATAATATGTTATACACAACTTCCATCTTAAACCTCAAGTCTCATTGCAAGAATGTTTAATATTTAGGGATGTTGTCAACTGGTGGATATGGGGGGGGGCAAAGTTTTAAGGGGCCCAAATAATGGGCCTTTTTGTGCATAAATGGGCCTTTTAAGGCCTAATTTTAAATTTTGGGCAAATTATCAAGAAAATGGGCCTTAAATTTTTAAAATTTGGGCCCACTTTTACGTCAGCATAACAAGATGGAAGAACATCTGGGCTTCCTTTTCGGTAAGATATTTTTATTTATCGATTCTACACCACTTATGAGTCAAGTTGTGGACAATAATTTGGCTCAGAGTTAAGGAAGATAGTCTAGTTTGAGAATATGCAGGCAGTTCTATGTTTGGTATATTAACGAAGACGCAATTCACATATTTAGTCCCTCGCTTTTGTAACATTGCCGATCTCCATGAATATTGTCACATTGGCAATATTCACGAAGATCGTCAACGTAACAAAAGCGAGGGACTAAATACAGTATGTAAATTGTGTCTTCGTCCCGGAAGTTCTTCCATCTTGTTACGTTGACGTATTGTCAGCGTAACTAGGTGAGTACCACCAGTAAACATGGCTCCCCCCCTTTTTTTGGTTCCTGGATCCGCCCCTGGTGTCCAACTAATAACACTCCTGGAAAATCAATGTTTAAAATGTTGATTTGTCTTTCTCTTGAAAAAAAACACTGTTTGTCATCTAAAGCTAACATTGTTATTCCATAACTGTTGATAATTGGACACCATACCATCCTTGGTCCAAGGGTATTTTACTTCTTTAAGCATAAATGAAGTCCTTTGAAGAAGGATTCACCACCCCTTACCAATTCATGTATCAACAGTTAACAGATCTCTTTAACAAATAGTGAATTGGAGAACCAAGGAAGCACAGGTATATTTGCTACATTCAGGACATCATACCTTGCAGCAGGTAGCATTGTTTTTTTGAAAATTGGCAATATGTTTATCTTTCTGGCCTGATACTGTGAAAATGACATCACCAAAAGATGGCATGATATCTTGGCTTGGCCTGCTTAAGACTTCATTTTCATTTATTATACTCCAACTTTTTCCCAATTTTTTGACACCATGTCAATGGGATCTGACACAATATTTAAATATGATGTTAGTTTACATAGCCACAGTCCTATCATTTCTGATTATGGCAAATTTGGTGCATGATTACAGTGCACAAGTCCATGATTTGAAGATATTCATCCGCTCCATCTAATAGTCTTTTATCAACAACCTGGAATGAAAACAGGAATGTCATCAGGGGCGTCGAACAGATTTGAAAAGGGGGCGCGTTTTCCAGAAAATATAGGTGACGCATAAACTGATTGTGGGGGTCTGAGGGCATGCTCCCCGGAATATTTTTCAAAGATGCTATTTGGTTCTCTGGGTGTTTCTAAGGACTATAAATAGTTATTTTCTAAAACAGCATTTTTTGAAGTTTCACAGTAATCTTATAAAAAATTCTGGGCAGTTTCTGACACACTTATGTTAAGCGATACATTTTTATGAGAACTTGTGTGTGATTGTGCCAAGTTATGACACCCGGATTAATATTGCTCTCTCAGCTGGTTTTCCACATAAATGATTACAACTATTCCTTGTACATTTATACTCATTCAGGCAAGTAGATACTCAGAAGAAAATGAATAATCCCAGAACCATTATGATGATAAAAGCCCTACAAACCATATGCAGAATTTACTTACTGCAAGTCTTTCCAATATGGCTGCCTTTTGTTTATCACTGAGCGTATCCATGGTGATTAATTTATCATGCATCTGATTGATGATCTGCGCCCCCGAGTGGCCATTAAGCATAACATCTTTGACAACTGCTTCAAGTTTTTCATAGGAATCAGAAAAACATGTGTTGAGAACGCCATCTATTTCTTCATCTGATATTACCTAAAAGTAAATAATAAATTACAGTTAAAAATAAGTTAAAGCAAGTTCTGCCTTGTTTCATTGTTTCACTTACTGGGGTTATTTATGAAGCAGATTTTAAATTCTCAATTTGGAACATATGAAAATATTAATATACAAAAATTCAAAAGTAAACACACCCCTGCTATTTCGTAGATGTCACTCTTTGTGATTTCATCTTCTGGGTGTAACCTAGCGGCACTTTGTAGGAAAGTTATGGCCTTTCTCATGTCACCCTCTGACGTGGCTAAAAGAGCTTCAATAGCCTGGAAATCAGAAATCATTTTCATATAAAATAACATGCATTTTGACTACAAGACAAATATGATAGACCAGGAACACTCAAGAAGCCTTTAGACCGAATCAAAGTACCTCACTCTAATAGCAGCTTTGAATCACTCTTCAAAGCCCCCTTACCTTAGTCTTATATAGCACCATATGTTAAAGGTATATTCCTTGCCAACCAGACCATTCTATCCTGATATGATAGCTATAATCATATATACACTTTCCATATTTAGCAAAACACAGGAAAATGTTGTAATATAGTCAATATTGATCATTTAAAAATGTGGTGCTCATATCCAGTAAGCTGCCATCTTTTAAGATTTCACTAAGGAAGTGATGTCATCGACTCTCAACTTTCATAACCTTGCCTATAACAGTATAGGAAAGTAGCACAGAATCACTTCTAGACAAATGGTTCTTACTTTAGGTCCAAAATATTTTCAGAGCTTGTCAGCTTAGAATAAAAGAAGAGACTTTTAAAAGGATTAAATAATAGATAAAATTGAAAAAGAATATTCAACTGGTTTTGTAATTCTTAATAGCTCCTTACCTAATGCTATATGCAAAGTTGTGAGTCTTAAATGTGACAACCTACTTGAATTGAGCTCTACATTTTTAAGTGATCAATATTGACCATATCAAAACACATTTCCGTGTTTTGCTAAACATGGAAAGAATGTATATGGTTATAGCTACCATATTAGGAGAGACATGGTCTGACACTGACAAGGAACATACCTTTAAATTCTCTCAAAAAATGTTGCTTATTGGTTTTGGACACATCTAGAGAATTTTTAAATGGTGAAATATCTAAAATATCAGGAAAATGTTACAATTTTAACACAAAAATATCATCACCTGAGGAAATTAACAAAGTGTATCATAACCATTTGTAACCAAATTCTTACCACATTCTGGTCACAAAAAATGGTGGCTAAAGCAATATTGTTACATGACATGAGATGTTCCAATAACTAGAACAATTGATTTACTGGTCTATATTGGGATATGTATGACCTGTAATTTAAGTTGTAGACCAGTAAATATAATATAAATGCAATATATTCCACCATAAATCATAGAATTTTTTTTTTTCATAATTTAACACTGGCATACTAAAAATAAAATACATGAATTTCTAAAATGTGAAACTGACACTTGAAGCTATCACATAAAATGTGAAAAATGTGAATGTTTAAGATGTTAAACTGACCTCATCTTCACACTTCACATTTTCTCCTTCACATATTTCCCTCAGCCTCGTTTTCAATATAGTTTCATCAAGAGGTTTAAATCGAAATTTTGCACATCGAGAAGTGATTGGTTCAATTATTCGGCTAACGTAGTTACATATAAGGCAGAATCGGGTCATGCGGGATTCTTTTTCCATTGTGCGTCTCAAGGCAGCCTAAAATATGAAAACACAACTGTTTTACAAAATAAGTCAAACAAGCAGGGGCTCGATAAGTAAATGCTTGTATTATTGTCCCCATTCTATAAACTTAAACAAAATTTCAAATGGAGCGCAGTGTTGTAAATCATAAAATAGCAAGGAAGGAAATGGGAAAATAGAGTTTTGACTCTCCACATACGTGTATGCCCACCAAAATTTTGAGTCATGATAGCTCATCAAATTAAAAGAACGAGAATAGAGCCAAATTGATAGTGAGTTTCAGAAAAGAGATCTCCCAATATTTCAAGACTCTCTATCCCTTTAATTCCATTAAGGATTAATTTGATTCAATTGTAAACTGAAACATTGATTAATTGTATACTGAAACATTGATTAATTGTAAACTGAAACATTGATTAATTGTATACTGAAACATTGATTAATTGTATACTGAAACATTGATTAATTACCTGTGCAGGTTTTGTCATTGAATCTGCCTCATCTAATATAATGATCTTGAACGGTGGGCATGATTTGCCATCTGATCTGAAGCTACTTGCTGTTTGCTGTGCAAAAGTCTTCACTTTCTCACGAATGACGTTGATCCCTCGCTCGTCGGAAGAGTTTAGCTCAAGGACACGCTCTTTGAAAAGCACTGGTCTGAAGAAAAAAGAAATTAGACATACTAAATCAGAATACAGTCATACAGAATACAGAGTCAGGGTAGAAAATAAGTAGAAAATTGGCCGTGGGGGTTCAGGTATTGTGGTCATAGTGAATGTGGAGAAGGCAATGAGCATCTATAACTGTACCACATGTACTTAATTTGATTACTTATTTTGGGGAATTTGCTGTTTTGAACATTTGGCATCTACTTAATTTGATGTACTTGCTGTATTGAAATGTATATACCATACAATTTATTTATTTTATTGAAATATGAAATATTGAATTTGGTGGCTACTTCATTTGGTGGACTTAATCAATTTGGCTGATCCACAAAATTAAGTAGAATTACAGTAATTCAGCCTGACAAGTTACCTTGTCAGCCTTTTACATAAGTGACACACTGATATCATTGATTCTCTACAATAATTCAACAATAAGAAAAATAAATATTCATACATGCACATACCCGAATAATTCTTTAGCAGCAGCAAGAATTGTTGACGTTTTTCCTGTTCCAGGTGGCCCATAAAACAACAAATTGGGTAACTGAAATGATAAAAATATTGAAATTCAAATGGCAATGTCTGATCAAAGGAAGGTTTTCATTTTAAGGAAAAAACACTTATTTTCTTGGTGGATCTTGTCTTTATTTTTTACTATAGGACAGAAATGACTAAAAGAAATGAATTCTTACATCAGATCCTTGCAGTGATTTCTTTAGCACATTAACAACTTCTTCTTGATGTGCAACCTCTTCTAGATTCTTTGGTCGACTGGAATATTAAAGTTTTACAATTGTTATAGAAACCACATGTCAAAGTCACAATTACGAAAGTGTAACAATTGTTACAGACACACCATGTCAAAGTCACGATAACAACTGTAACAAACAACAAGAATGTCCTACAAATTTGAGATAGTCCCAGTCTGATTTGTAATGGAATTTGAGATGATCTAGCCTGAGTTATTCCTGGTTGTGTAAAGTGATTGTTGTTTTGAAATAATTTTGAAAGATGCATTGGGAAACTTGCCTCTTTAGGAATTATAAATTCAAGTAACAACATTTAAATAGTATATAACTAAAATACTCAAGTCAAAATGTGCTTGCTTTTAAATAAAGGAGACTATTCGCTCAATTAGAGCTTTTGAATCATGTAAATTGGAGTGTTTCCTTTTTAATATGACCCCAAACTGTAATGCAATAATTGATCTGTGAAAAACAAGGACTTGGTAAACTGTCAGTTTAGATTCTTCATTCAAAACATATTTGGCTCTAAAATCCATTTTAAAAGATTCTAGAAATCTTATTAGCTACATGTGGGGCATGCTTTTTCAAGTTTATTTATAATCTATAAGGACTCCTAGTGTCATCAATGTACAAGACAAATTTGGCTAATGTGGACATCATGGTAAGATAATAAATATATATACCCTTAAGAAAAAAGCCATGGTAACCATGGTATTCCATGGTGCGTCCATGGTAATCCATGGTTTTCCATGGAAATTCATGGTTTTCCATGTTATTTTCCATGGAAATTCATGGATGCCCATGGTAATCTTCCATGGATATTTACCATGATTTTCCGTGGTAATTGGTGGTTTGATAATTGGTTTTTAATGGATGTGTCATGGGCGGCTTTTACCATGACACATGGAGATGTAAAATCAACAATTATGGTAGGATTTGTATTTACCAAAATCTCCAAAATTAATGTTTTGATGATATATCCCAGTTGGACTGAGACTTATCATAGAGAAAAAAGGGTGGACATTTTTTAGGTTTAGCAAGAACGTTCATTGAATGTTAAACTCAGCTTCCTTACAAATTAGAAAATATGTGAAAATTATATAATTTTTTTATATAGAAATATGATAGTGCAGTTAATGCAGCACAGAGTAGGCCACAAGATTTCAAAAACAATTGTGCAAAGGGCTTTTGTGTAGATCAAGACTAGATAGAGATTGCTTATTTTTTAGGCCAAACACTTCTCTCCTTTGAAAAAGATTAAGTCAAACTAGCCCAAGCTCTGTTTTTATTTCAATACTTTCTTTAATTTTCAGTTTTAAAAATCAATATGAAATAATTTGATAAATAATTTTTTTTAAATTACATTTCGTACATTTGAGAATACAATCAAAAACCATGGTTTCTTTCTTTGAAGTTGAGGAAACTGTAATTAAAAGCCATGGAAGTCGGTTGATTGCAATCGAAAGCCATGCTTTTCCATGATTATTTCTCTGATGTTTTGGAAAGTGCAATCAAAAGCCATTGTTTTCCATGGTTATTCTTTTGATCTTTTGAAAGTCCATGGTTTTCCATGGGCTATTTGTTTGGTCTTTTGGATGCAGAAAAAAGAATAAAACATTTTGTTTCTAAATGAACTTCTCCAAATTAAGTCCCATTCAACCTTTATAAGAATATTATCTCTCAAATTAATGTTAAAAAATTAATCTCTTTGCAACAGATTATAATAGTTCATTTGCATAATTCTTAAATATTCTGATCTTAATTGTTATTATATATGATAATCTTACTCTTTCTAATGCTCCCTCTTCAGTAATTATTATTGTCGGTGAGTGTAGACAGTGCAAGTCAAAAACTCATTGTTGATCAAATAAAACCAAATAGGATTTACTCCAAATAAAAATGTTTATTCAGTCTACAATAAGGGAATCCAGTGAGCTGTTTTTATCACTTATTTTGTCTTTTTTTACATCAGTGCCAAAGTTAAATGAAAGCATTGCACAGAATTGGTCGAATAGCCGATAGATGTCATTCATTGATTAAACATGACGTCATATTTGAGATCTTAAGATAAATCTGACGTCATGACGTCAGTGCCATAGAAACTGAGATTGTCTTATTTTATTTTGACGTCATTCCAATGTAATGAACCAGTTATATCACCAAAAGTTATCATATTTTGTTTGAAATTGGCCGAAAAGTTAAAGGTATGAGGATTCTAATCTCAACGGAATCAAACAGATCTACCTTCAAAGTTACAGAAACCTGAGATGACTATACCATATGATTTTAAGTACCTCTACCAGACCGTTGAATATCCTCATTTCACCATTTTGACGCCATTTCTAATGGATTTCAATGGAGTCATGCATGAATTCCTCATGATTTTTTCAAAACAAATTGGCCGAAAAGTGTGCATGTGTACATTGCTTAAAACATGTTAAATCAGTAAAGGTTGATGTCTAGTTATAGAAACCTGAGATGACTAAGGTGGCAAATCAATATCATTCGAACAGTAAGCGTTCGAAAAATGTCTCCATTATAAATCCCATAGGCTTTGGAAAACCGGAAGTAATTGTTCTGCGCATGCGCAGTGAAATATTGGACAAATTTTGTGCAATGGCAAATCCCAGCAAACAAATTATTACTTGTAATTGTGGGGTCAAATCATCAATTAAAAAATATTAAGTAAAAAGTTCTTTGTCATATGACACTATGTACAGAATGTACAAACATATATTCAGATTGTAAAAACATGGTTGTATTTCAGGCCTGAAACCAGCTTTTGTCAAGAAGGTTGACTTTCTCAAAAATTTGAGGGGGAGGGGCGTCATATTCTTCTCTCTATGATTAGTCTCAATCCAGCTTGGATTCATTCGTTAAAATATTGATTCAATTTTGAAGATTTGGGTAAAAACAAAACATGCCAAAATTGTTGATTTTACAACTCAAGTGTCATGGTAAAAACATGGCATGTCCATGAAAAAACAATTACCAAACCACTAATTACCACGGAAAATCATGGTAAATATCCATGGAAGATTACCATGGGTATCCATGAATTTCCATGGAAAAAACCATGAATTTCCATGGAAAACCATGGATTACCATGGACGCACCATGGATTACCATGGACGCACCATGGAATACCATGGTTACCATGGCTTTTTTCTTAAGGGTAATAAACAGTGTTGGTCTAATAATTGAGCCTTGTGGCACACCACGTTGAATTATATGTTCATTTGAAATTGTCATATTATAAGAAGTAACTTGTTTTCTGTTGTTTGGATAAGATCTAAACCAAACTTTGATTTTTTCATCTAACAATGTGAACATATTTTTCAACAATTGATTTGAGTGGTCTGAAGTATCAAAAGCCTTTAACAGATCCAAAATTGACTTATAAGTTGACAAATAGGGCAATTATCCAACAGTAGTGGTGTAGATAAGTTCTCACGTAGTCATCGAATCGTCTCGCCAAGGTGTTATAGAATTCGGCTCGATTAAGAGTTCAGATCTCGCGAATTATTACACGAGTCTGAGATCCGCGAATTTGTATTCGTATTCGCGATTTCACAGCGAATCCTGACGTCAAATACATTGTTTTTTCTTACAAACAGGGTGAAACTATGTACAAATGATTGTTCCGTGTATCATTTGTTTTTATTTGAATAAATATGAGTAATAAATCTAATTTAAATGAAATATTTTTGAGTCTATTTTTTAATTCCATGATTAATTCAGTCCGTAGAACCGGAAATGAAAGTGCTGCAACAATGTGTGGCGGGAAACATAAAATAAACAATATTTCAATTTTTGACGTAATTAATCGTAAGTATGTTATTTAAATCGGTAGTTATGGACAACTCTTGATATACCTAGCGTACCTAGGGTATTGTGCAAGTGAACAACATTGAAAAAAGGACTAAAAAACGACCATATGACATGCAATGGTAAGATTTTTTCTTGTTTATTTTTTTGATGAAAAATCGCGATTCTTATTCAATCTCAGACTCAAAATCACGCGAATTACTCGATTCCAAAAATCCCCGCGAGTTACAACACTATCCAACAGTATATGCATACTTGATTAGTTTTTGGTGAGGCAAAAAATAATACTAGGTGAGGTTGATTGAGGTTAAAGGAAATATATCATGATTACCTCTGGACTTCATTTCCAGTTAAAGTTGAAATAAAAATCAAAAAATATTTCTGTAAAACTTTAGTGTGCTTCCTCATGCCTGGCCTATGTAGAACTCATGTGAGCAAATCAAGTTACCAACTTACTATTTCTCCACCCATGGAACTTGTCGTGGTCTTTTCGCCTTAGATTTCCCAGAAGTCCCTGCTGTGACATCTTTGGTGACATTCGCACCCACTGAGCTTTTAGTTCCAGTTGGTTTAAAGAAAGCGTGCATCTTGGCTATCTGAAAGGAAATTTCAAACATGACATGAGAATAATAATTTGTAAGTACAAAGTAAGTCGTTTTAACTTTTGACTGTGAACACACTCATGTGATTCATCAGTTTATTATTAGACAAAATACTCAATTTCAATATATTATTCCTTTAATAAAAATAGTCCTAAACTGAGATTAGATTTTTAATAAAATGACCTATAATTCATCGGGAACTCATTTTAAACACTCAGTTTTTTGACAATCACTTGTTAATTTATACTCAAAAATTTATACTTATAATTATAGAAGCAGCAGTTATACATTTTAATATAGACTCACTTTAGACATGAATCAAGTACATGTATATTAAGTCCATGTCCATTTTCCCTAGCTGTAGTTTTCCATTTTAATAGACTTACTTTATACATGTGTTAAGTATTTTAAGCCCATGTCCATTTTGCTTAGCTGCAGTTATACATTTTAATAGGCTTACTAAGCTAAGTTTATACATAAGTTAGTATTTTAAGTCCATGTTCATTTTCCTTAGCTGCAGTAATATATTTAATTTTTAATAGGCTTTTACATTTACTATTTACAAATCTAGTTTTTAGAATTTCTATCATAATTTGAGAGTGTCAATCTCCATCTCAAAGGCACAACATTTTTCACATCCTTGTTCAACACAACTTCTTTTCTCATTCAGGCCATATTTCACTCCATCTGTTTGATGAGAAATTGTATCCAACTTTGTAATATAAGCATTTTCCAAACATTTAGCGTTTTCTTCGTTGGGCTCATTGTCAATCACAGTACATTGGCAATACTCAATTCCACACTTCTCATTTTCAAAATGTTGATGGATCTTTGGACGTTTTTCAAAGTCCTTTGTAAAGCCAATATATGTCATCGAAGGGCCACATTTTAGGCACATAACATGATAAATGGCATTTGTCATTTGGGTATCTGAACGGACTTTGTATTTGTTCCTGTTTTTTTGTATCACTTATCACTGATTCGTTGGTTTACAGATTATTTGAAGAACTAGCCTTTGCTTTGTAAGTATTTTTGTGTAATTTTGAGACTATCAATCCTCTTTTCAGCTGCTATACAGTTTTCACAATCTTCTTTTACATAGCTTCGCCTCTCATTCAGTCCATATTTTACTCCATCTATTTGATGAGAAATTGTATCCAACTTGGTAGTATAGGCATTTTTCAAACATTTAGCGTTTTCTTCATTGGGCTCATTGTCAATCACAGTACACTGATAATACTCCAAGCCACACTTCACGTTTTCAAAATGTTTGTGGCTCTTTGGAGTTTTTTCAAAGTCCTTTGTGAAGCCAATATATGTCATCGAAGGACCACATTTTAGGCACATAACATGATAAATGGCATTTACAATTAGGGTATCTGAACAGACTTTGTATTTGTTCCAGCTTTTTGTATCGCTTATCACCAAATCTTTTGAAGGACTTGATCTTGAATTAATTTTGAAACCATCAACCCTCTTTTCAGCATCGATACAGTTTTCACATTTCTTTTTGGAACATACTTTTATTGAATTAAGTCAATTTAGGTTAATTTTCCCTGATCTTAGATCTCTTCCATGATAAATTGTCCTTAATCTTGTCATGTAGGCAGTTTCCAAACATTTTAACTTGTCTTCATCTGGCTCGTGGTCAATTGTGGTATACTTGAAATTTTTTATGCCACAATTTACAAAATGCTTGTATAAAAGCTCATAATAATTTACGCTTGATTTAACTTTTCCAATGTGGCACATTTTACGTTCATGAGATGCCTTTGTTGTACTGCCAATGTATGTGGCACCAACACCGCATTTTTCACATGTTATATGATAAATAACATTCTGCGTATCTTCATTATGTTCATAGACTTCATATTTGTTTTCACCCATTGTATCGCTAATAACAATACTCTGAGCTGCAACTTCTTCAACTTTTGCTGTTTTTTCAGCACCAACTTTAGGTTCATCTTTCACAGGTGTTTCTGACCTTTGAGGAGTTATTGCAGGATGAGGACCTTCTGTCAATCTCTTCAACTCTTCTAAGATTTTTTTCTGCTGTGTAACATTGATTTCGATCTGTTCTGATAATTTACAGATTTTTTTGTTTAGTTTATCCATTTCACCATTTTTGGCTTCAGTCGTTTGGGCATTTTCTTTGAAGGATGGCCCATTCAATTGCAACTCAAGTACATATGCCTCTAATTTTTCAATCATATCATTTTGCTCTTTATCACAAGCTTTCATGAGTGTTTTCAATCGAATAAGTTTCTTTAACAAGACTTTCTTTCTCTCCATTCTTGGTTTTCTGTAAGGGTGATGTTACTGATATATTGTAGGAACAGTAAAATCCTAATTTGACTATACTACTTGATTTTGATCGTAGCTAGTTGATCCATTAAACACATTGGATTTGTTTCTTATACCTTAGTTGATGTCAGCCTTCAGACACTAGGATTATGTCACACCTTCTGTGTAACATTAATGTGATGTATGTTTACTTTGAGTATGTAGATATCTCAAGGCACAGTTCTAGACTATTATATAGACCCCAAGATATCTTGTTTTTAGATCTGATCCTTGTTATGAAATTTTTAATCTGTTTTTCATTAAAATGAGATATAACTGACAGAGATCTTATTTAGCTTTTGGACAGTTGGTACATGTTAGTGTCTAAGACAAAGTGATTCTTATAGTTACTTATTGCCATTGATAAATCTTGTTAAATCCATTGATTCTATTGGTGTATGGGGAATTCAAAGCCCCCGATTGATTTTATATGGAATGTCAAGAAAAAGTCTCTGATGTGATATTTTCACGAGTGACAATATCTTGTGACTTCAACTATAGCGTACTTGAAGACAAAGACAGTGTTAGCTTTACATTGGCTACTATTTTAGGCTACTTGTTTGTTTATTTGTATCTATCTATCAGCCAAAAATGTTGTCATCTGTCATCTCAGTATTTGGTCCCAATCATCTCATTTTCTAGTCCCCATCTTTTCAGTTTGAGTGCCGTCATTTCATTTCTGTTACCCGCTACTCAGTTTTTCATACACATCATCTCAAATTTCCAATCAAATATTATCAATGGCCATTTTGAGTTGACAGCCCTAATTTAAGTTGACAGCCCAATGTGTAGCATCACCCATCTAGGCCTATATACGATTGTACTCATGCCATTATATCGTAGACTTTATGTCATGTATTATTTACATTTGACTTAGAATCGTCCAGTCTGCTTATAAATTTTCATAGGTCTAATAGTATTGAGGATTAAACTGATCGTTTAGCAAAGTTAGAATTATTTGTACTTTTACTACTTCCTGATAGATATAGGCCTCGATGTGAAAATTATTCATGAGAACTCTGAATTTTACAACTCGAACAAATCAAAATGAAAAATGGGTATTTAGACTTCTACCTCACTCCAAACCGTACTTACTGCTTTAAGTGTACCTAACAGCACCTGCTCACGTTTTGTTTGACGTAATCAAGATAAATAGACAGCGGAATCAATGAAATTAGTTACAAGATTTTCTTTTCAAATTATTTGGCGGGGTTTTATTGCGCATGTGCCAACTACATTTCCGGTTCCGGAAGTATTGAAAATAAGTATGGGATATTCAATAATATTGTAATTTTATTGTGATTTGCTCCATAAATACTCAATTTATATTATTTTAGAAACGAAATACATAATGGAGAAGGCTCACGATCCCAAAGATTTGGATTTAACTGCTTCAGGACGTGGAGTCTGGCTCGTAAAGGTAAGAATTTCACCGGGAATTTTAGTTCAACAAGTTAAACCCAATACCACGGCTTTCATTTATTAATCTGAATGTTCTTGTTGCCGTGATTGGGTTTAACTTCCGTGGTATGCTTTCATTTGTTGCAAATTCTCACTATCAGTTATTAATTAAACGCGCATGAAATTACTTATTAATTGACAACAATATAAAAACACATAACATCAAGCGATTCAACACAATATTATTGTATTAAATGGTCATTTATACAAGTAAAATGAGGTTAAACTTACCAATCTCTAAAATGACATTCCGCATGTCCGTCATTGTGTCTGTTCGTCCCGGGTTAAAATTTAAACTATTGAAACGAAATTGTTGTCAAATAGATTGATAATTATCACGCGATTACTCGGGATATAAAGATCAATTTTGAGGATAACAGGTATCTTTGATTGATTTATGTAGCGCTTGTATACACGCAAATTAGTTATTAATTGCAAACCTACTGTTCGTTGATGCAGTGTCGCAATGACGGTCAATTCCTGAAACGATTTGCAATTTCGATGTTACCGGAACTGACCGACATTTTCGTAAAATTCCAAACCTGTCTCCAATATTTTCGTAATTATGCATCAATAGGGTCTAAGGGGGATACGGGATGGTGTGTATGTATTCATAAGGTATGTATGCATGCTTGAATCACATTCTTTATGTAATATTACCATGTTTTCAGTGTTAATTAGTTCCGCTGGTCGAAACCTGCGGAACGCGCAACAAGGGCAAAATGATCATGGAGGTTAGACCTAGCCGGGGCCATAAGACATGTCAGATAAGAAACGAGGCCCAGGCTAGGTCTAATGTTGTTGGACTACGGGAATTTCAGAGACTGGCAGTGGCATAAAATAACATCCAAACATGGACTTTCTTCAGGTCCATGATCCTTACTCGAGTCTCTAGCTTACAGCTAGACGAAACTTCATTGATTTCGTATGTACTGTGCTACACGCACCTACACGCACCTAGAACTCATTTTTTATAAATTTTATAAATATTTTTAAGAATATTAATCATATTTAGGATGGAGCGTTGCTTGTCTGGATTTAGATATTTCAAAATTTCATTTCGGAGTTTTGACACATGGTGAAATTTTCTCGCTGTAGCTAAAAATGGCTTCCGGTTCTGGACGTGAATAACATTTGAAATTATTCTCGCTTAAAGAAATCAAATATAACAATAGATTCAGACGGGGATGTGAGCTGATGTTCTTCAAATCTATACATAAAGGTATATTTCGTATTATTATGCCATATTTACTGTGCGTGTGACCATGGGCTTTCAACTAGTATAATACTAAGGCAGCTCAATCTTCCTCCTCAAAGCCGGAATATAGAGAAGGCTTTGGACCGAAGTAACATGATCCAAACCATAGGCCCAGGGAGAAGTATTGGCAACCTGAATCTTAAAGAAACAGGCTGACAACCCGACTGAAATTTTTTCAAAAACTTGCCGATTGGTAGTCGGTACAAGGTCTTACTGGTATGGCTTACCTTACCTTAGCTTTATGATTTACCTTACTGATATCGTATCATCAAATCTCTCCAGAATCTGAAACGTACTATACAGTGCTGATATATAATAATAAAGGGTGCGTTTTCAAACTAAACAGAGTGCTCCTACCAAAATAAATTTGCCTACAACCCCTGAGACTCTTATCTGATAGAAAGAATGCACAAATAAAACAAAAGTTTTGCTATTATAGGTAAAAAAGTTCTCTTGAAATTTCGAAGTGATTTTACCTGTTAATTCTGTCCATGGTCTGACATTTTTGCGGAAGTTACACTGAAACGCAAACTCCATGAAGCGAAAAGAAATCACTAGAAAAAAACATGGCACACATTGTGCGCATGTGCAGCAAAGTTTAAAACAATCAGATTATTTGATTATTTTGCGCACATGTTGACTTATGGCAACCCAGCCATTCCCCATTTGTTTAACATGGGATCTGCCATTTTTGTTAAATTTCATGAAATTCATCAATTTTGACATCAAATTTTGACCCAATGTAATGGAGATATAACATTGAAACGTCGCGGACTTTATAGGGAATGGAATCAAGATACAGATTTATTTACTTTATTGGGATTTCTTTTGTTCCCCGCTTAGAAAATAGTCATTCAAACAAATATGGGGGTTAACATGTAAATCTATGAGGAACACCACTGGTCCTTAACTTTTTTTGAGGAGTATATTTGCTTCTGAGCACTAACAAGCTTACCACAATAAACAAACCTGGCAGAGACTACCCTTAGCCTACTTCATTTTAGCAAAATTTCAGCTCAAACTCGTGACAAATGCACTATGCATACGCTGGTGTGAAGCCTTGGAGACACTCATTTTGGTAAATATGATTTATGGTATATACTTTTCTGCAGTTTGTGGGAGTTTGGGATATTAAATGTTAAAATTCAAGAAAATATGCCAATTAAACGACTAATCAATTAATATATACCAGCACTATATATCATTGATCATTTCAAATCTTTACCAGAACTCTTCAATAAATTTTCATAAAAAAATTCAAAACACACAAGAGGATTTTATAAATACAGGAGTCAATGTAAAATTTGTCTTGAAGTGGGGTTCACCTAAAACAGGTGTTCACTAGAGAGAGGTGTTCACTAAGACAGGTTTTACTTTATATTATGAGATGGCTTACTCGTTTCCCAGTTTGATTTTCAATCACACTGGTATCAGTGGACAACTTTTCTATCCAAAAAACAAGCAAATCATCTGATTGGTGCACGTTAAATCCAGCGCACAATCAGATGATTTGTTTGTGTTACTCTAGTATCTCATTGGTCAAACTCCTTTTAGACCAGTAAATGGCCCTTCGGATTGACTACTAATGAGGTTGACTGCTCAGCTTCTATTTACCTAATACATTAGAATTAGCATAATGTAGGCTGAATAAGATGTTATCTCATTCATCAGAATCCTCAATCTATGACAAATTAGTAGGGTTTTGGGCAGGAATTCCAGCCTGATGTTCCAAGGTATGAAGTCCAAGATGATGAGATGGCTAGTGTCCAACAATTTTGGTAGAATTGATAAAGTAGTGCCATCTATGTTTTAGGTTCCAAAGTATCTCTCTGAAAAATGGTCCAACACCCGAGGAGGAAGTGAACTTGGACGGTTAAAGATAAGTCGGCCAAAGTGAGTATTGTGCTAAGCGAGTCAAATTACAAAGTTGACTGAAGTAATGAATGTAACAATTGTGTCAAATTACAAAGTTGACTGAAGTAATGAATGTAACAATTGTGTCAAATTACAAAGTTGACTGAAGTAATGAATGTAACAATTGTGTCAAATTACAAAGTTGACTGAAGTAATGAATGTAACAATTGTGTCAAATTACAAAGTTGACTGAAGTAATGAATGTAACAATTGTGTCAAATTACAAAGTTGACTGAAGTAATGAATGTAACAATTGTGTCAAATTACAAAGTTGACTGAAGTAATGAATGTAACAATTGTGTCAATTTACAAAGTTGACTAAAGTAATGAATGTAACAATTGTGTCAATTTACAAAGTTGACTATTGCACAGTAGACTCAAGTCGGTGTGTCAGATTCCAGCCAGTCTGAACACTGAATTTCATATACAGTGGCGTAGCGTCGTTTACGCAAAGTACGCAAATGCGTCCACTTGAACAATCCAACGTTTATCTGAATATTTGGAAATTCTAAATTTCTCAAGTTTTAATAAGCAAAGCCATTGTTCAACCTTATCATTTCGTATCTTTGAACAGGGTTCAACCATAGAAATTAGGTGTTTATTTTAGTCCCGACATGTCATTAATGATTCTTTCAAATTATACTCTCATAATTTCGTGAATACTCTTATGCAATCCATATGACCTCCCCGTATTAAGTACACGATGGCTGCTCATGTGCCGAATCCAGCTCCAGTTTTGGCGTAAGTATCTTTTGAATTTAATGATTAGGGATAGTTAATCAATTACGCTAATATCTATATACTATAATAATATTCAAGCAAGATTTGTACCTTTCATCCATAAATCTTATCGGAAGACATTGAATAAGAGTAATCAACAGTGCTGTCTGCTGCAGACATCTTTTTGTTCAGTGTAAATTATTCATGTAAGATTTTTACAACGATAATAGATTTTTTAAATGTTCAAAATTATTTATTTATGAGTGAATTTCAAGTGGAAATGAATGCGTATCGGGTAAACCCCCCCCCCCCCATCCCAATTTTGGAATTTTGCGTCCCCTAGTAAAATTGCCACGCTACGCCACTGATATATCTGCATTGTATTATATAACCAAAAGCCTGTGCAAGGTCATTCTTTGAATGGTTGTCAAGGTGTCACTTTGACAACCTCTACAAATTGAAATTGATGCTTTGACAACTTGAGGCCATATAATAATAGAGTATTGAGGCCACCATATAACAGTAGTGTATTAAGGCCATATAAAATATTTTATTATGGTCAAGGTCATATGAAATTGTGTACTGAGGCCATATAAAATACTATATTAAGGCCTTATAAAATAATATACTAAGGCTATAGAACAATAGTGTACTGAGGCCACATAAAAATACTGCACTGAGTTCATATACAGCAATAGTATACTGAGGTCAACTAACAATAGTGTATTTAGGCGATATAATAATAATAGTACATGTATATTTATGCCATATAACAATAGTGTACAGGATTCTCACCAGGAAATGTTTAGACCCAGGTTTTTCGTGGTAATGCTACTACTCCTCCCCATGTGAGATTATTGATATCCTATTAGTATACTTTTCAAAATACAACTTAGATTATCTTCCTATTTTAATCACAATATACATTTCTAAAAGGTTTCTGACTTCCTATTCCTTGTTTGTATCCAGTATTTTCTTTTACCACAAATAATGCGACAGAAATGTAAAATTAGACTCCGGAAAAACACTTCAGACTCTGGAAAAGCTATTAGACTCTGGAGCAAGCGGGTATTAAGACATTAGACTCTGGAGAATATCCGGAGTCTAAAAGCCTAGTAAGAACCCTGGTGTATGAATAGAAGACAATGTAATGATATCTTCCTGAAAAAGGTAATACTTTATTATGCACCAGAAAATATGGCAATTTGTTTTCAAAAATGTTTTCTTGAACTATCACCTTAATGCTATTTTCAGATTTGTGGGAGCAAAACAAGAAGTTCTCTTCACACTGCCAGAGGCCACTGTAGCTGGGGACAGTATTCCGAGAGATCACAAATTTGCAATAACTAAAATCGGAAACCAGAATTTGTCAGTTCTTAGTGAAACCGGTGAGTCTATTGTTAATCCTTTTGAAACAGTTTTGTTTGCCTAAAAATGATATTGTATTTACTATGAAATTTCCTGCTCGATTATTTAGAATTGGTTTGTGTATCTTAAGGACATGTTTTGTAATAACTCAAAAAGTTCATATTTGATATGTTTCATATGTTCATATTTGATATATGTAAACACTAAGAAGCATTGCATGCTGTCTTATGAACCATTGTCCAGTTAGGCAGCCATTTTGAAAAATGGTGACTACGTTTATATTTTTTGCTATGATTGAAAAAGTAGTGGAGCGATTTTGTTGAAATTTTTTTGTGAATACTTAGAAACAATTATTACACTGTTTTATGACAATCTGGCTAGTAGCTGCCATCTTGAAAAATGGTGGCCATTTTTAGTGTGTTTTTACGAAGGCCCTCCACAAAGTGGGTGGAGCCAATTCCTTCTGTGGACCGGAGTTTGACCAGTCATGTGACCAAAAGTCCGCCATTATTACTAGTGTTGTCGCGATTAATCGATACATCGCGATATACATCGCCAAAGCTGGTTCTGGCGATGCATCGATGTCTGAAACAAAACATCGATGTTTTTGAAAAAAATAAATTTGCTAAAAATCGCCCTTTCTTATCTTATTTTGACGCAAATTGCTTACCTTTTTTCATGTCTTATTACATTTTCCAATGTTTTCTGATATTCTTTCGCTTTAAAACTGTTTTAGCTAGTCGAAATGAACCATTAATCTAAAAAAATTACTTTACTTTCATTTCACCGTTACTAGAAGTTCCCGGATGTACCATCGTACTCTTATTAATTTGTTCTGTTCGGTATTTTAGTGCATTAGCGTTCGGTATTTTAGTGCACTTTTCTCGAACTTTTTCTCGATGTACATCGCAATGTGCATCGATGTTTACTACTGAAAATTGCCGATGTATCGATGTACGATTATGCCACATCGCGACAACACTAATTATTACCTTATACGGCAAATCATCAAGGCAATGATCAAGATGTCATATATTGTGATTGTGATGAAGATATGACGTAATATCACACAAACTATGACATCAGTCACATATTGCCCTATCAACTAAACAAACAACAGAGCTAAACGTCGCACATCACTGTTGATTAAGTTTTAATTTGTTTTGTGACATCATTAACATGTTACCTAACCTACAAAAATGTATATGTACATGTATATGCAGCCATCTGGTACGCCTGTGCATACCAGACGTACTGGGTGCTATGCCCATGGTAGTGGATCGATTTTGTAAATATTTAATATGTGAAGTATTTTACACTGACTGTCTAATGACAATTTGTCTCATAGATGGCCATTTTGAAATATACAGGGTGTCTCAAAAAAATGTACCCAAAAGTATATCAAGAGCACAGATAAACCAATCAATATTTTCAGACATTTTTTGCATGGTCATGTAGCCAAAACATGAAAGTTTTCTCCCCAATACACCATTTTTATTTCAGTCATGTCTTTTTGATGCTTTAACCCTTTACCCTTTACACCACATAATCGATGTAACCTCATTTTTCGATGACAGCCTGTATCCTTACTGATTCATTGTTCATTACATTTGATAATAATTCCGGTGGAATGTTTTGGATTTCTCTTTGGATGTTGTCCTTAAGTTGTTGTTACAGACAGACAAAATACCTTTTTGTTAGGAATTTTATATGATATTTTATTACATACAGTTTGAGTTGTTTTTACATTTATACTTTCATTTGAGTGATACATATGTTGTTGATGTTGGTTAATTGGATCCTGCCAGTATTTTTGGAACTTATCTGGAACTTGTTTTAAGGACAAGACGTTTGGAACAAAGAAGTCTCATACCTGATGCCAAAAGTAGTCCTGTATTTCCAGAGTCCTTGAGATAAGTTCCAGGAAATATCTTGGTAAGAACAAAGAAAATGCTCATTTGGCAGGAACTATATTTTGGAGAGTAGTTATATATGGTAGTGTGATTGGATAGTATAAAAGAGTTTGGGGGTGTCCGTGTTTGGTGGTCTGGTTGATTGCTGTATGCTGTATGCCTGTAGGATTGCTGTCTGATGTGCTGATCTTTGTATTATAGAATAAAATCATTATAGCCAACTAGATTTGTCGTGTAACACTTTATATTCCTGTAACAACGCCTGTTATCCGAGGGACAACGCCAGTAACACTGGTGCCGTTGCCAGGATTCGAACCTGGGTTACCCGGTTACCAAAATAAAATCATTATAGCCAACTAGATTTGTCGTGTAACACTTTATATTCCTGTAACAACGCCTGTTATCCGAGGGACAACGCCAGTAACACTGGTGCCGTTGCGAAAGAAATGGAGGTTATCACACACATCGTTGGGGTCTGCTGCGGTCTTGCGTGGGGTCTATGGGGAATCTCCCCGAGCTGGAGGTCGCATTTTCGGAGAGAGTTGATGAACGCTTTTTGGGACCACATTTCTGGATGTGGTTTTGCATGTGGATTTCAGGTATGATATTGCTTTGACTGAATTTTGAATTTTTAATGACGTAAATCAAGATTATTTCTACTCGCGTCTGGGTTATTTATAAATTGTGTACTATGTTCTCTCCTTGGTGTTTTGTTGTCAGAGTTCAAGTGATTAATGAAAAGTATAATGTAAGAAAATGGTTTTAAGCATCTTAACATAGATACATGTTGTACAGACTTCACTTAATTATCGAGATTTTGATGTTGCTATGTTTTTCTTTTCTTTTATAAATGTTATCAAAAATTTCGGTTATAAATGCAGTGGTGCAAAATTTTATATAGAATGATTCAAAAAGTATTAAAAATGTTAATCAAAAACTATATTTTGTAATTAGAAAAAGAAAATACACCCAAATGAGATTAATGTAAAATGTTTTGTTTCAAGCAGAACAAGACAGATGTCAGTTATTATCAAGGAGGCGTCTGTGTATGGATGTTTGAGGTCACATTTAGTTTTAGATAAAGTTTGTTTGAGGTCACCCTTGCAACCAAGTTTAAATTTGGTTCTAGAATTCAAAGGTCATTACCATTAAAGGTTTATTTATCATAAGGTGAACAAGGATATTTTGTTGAAGGTTGGTAGAATTGGTTTTAAAATTATTGGTATTCTGGGACAAAGGGTATTCTGTTCATTTAGAAATAGGAAAGTTGAAGAAAAAATGATTTATCAATTAGATATTATGGAGAATTATTAAGGTTACTTGATGTTGGTTGTAAGATGTAACCAGAGGGTGGTAAATATTTCCTATTCCATTATATGTTTTATGTGATTTTTTATCTACATATGGTGATATAAATAGTGTCCCAGATAGAAGATGATGTTTATTTTTGAAATTATTGATGTGAAATGAATAAGACACCATAGGAGAACTGTGGTAGTCACAAACATGAGTTATTTGTGAAGTGTATTACTGGGAAACAGGAGAGACCAGAGGGGGTTCTGGAGATATGAGAGACGATGGTAGTTGCTTAAGTACTAACAAATTTACTAACAAATTAACTAACTAATTAACACCAAACTAATATTAATTAACTAAAAGCATGACTAATCTTGCTGTAGATTTTAACAAAAGGGATATCGTGACGTCTCTGTGATGAGAAGTAAGATATAATGTATTGTCCTGCGGGACGTGTTTAACATGTATGTCAGAGGGTTCTCTAAGACAGTTCACCTCGGATACATGAAACGTGAAAAAGATATGATAGGGCTGGCCAGCCTACCTGATATTAACCCAGAGGGATTAGCTAACCCCGGGGTGAGACGCCTATTAACCAGCAAATATGGAGATATGGTAAACTCATGAAGATATCAGGAAAATAAGAGATATAAGAGACACATTAATGGTCATCCAGGAGGTATACTGGATTGTGAGTTTAATATTTTTTTGGTATGTATGGTTTGATAAGAAATCAATACCAGCAATTAGATATTTTTGTAATGGAATAGGAGGTAGAAACCCAAATCTGGTTGCTTGAGTTAAAATGTATCTTAAGAATATGTTTAACGATACTTTATAATACTGAAGGTAGTGGATGTTTGGGGAGGAGAAACCTTTGGAGAATTATACAGGTGTGAAACATTATCTTGTGATCAATGGACAATTTAATTCATAGGTTGAGCTTAGTAAAAAAATTAATTAGGATGTGACAAATATGAAAAAGTCAATGTTTAACTCCCTGGCAAGAATGTAATTAAGATAAGGTTTCAGAATTGGAGTCAGGATTGGTATCCGCTCTTGCGAAATTCACATTATATCACTTACACTGCCGAGTATCAAGGATCTCATTAACGTTATCGGGGGAGTTTGAACTCACCAGACTCTCTATTATTCAATATTGCTATCTTGACAAAACCTGTACTACCATGATCTCTTTTTGGTAGCATTGATATTGGGAACTTTATTCTTATTTGGTAATTTGAAACTTAATTAAATTAATTGTTCAAGTTTGGTTTGCATTGTTCTGGTTTTTGACAAGTTTGTTTTGGTAATGAAGAAATATTTTTTATCTGTAATTTAATCTGTAAATCTGTAACATTTTTTTCTGTTGATTTGTAAATCCATTGTTTTGTTAAAGGGTGTAGCAAATTAGCATGGATTTTACCTTTACGATTTGTATTTTACTCTTGGAAAGCAAATGTTATATAAGCATTTTATACCATCAGATTGTTTTGTTACTTATGTAAGAAGTGTTGCAATACATTTTTTTGCCAGCATTTATAAGTACGGTATTGTGTTGGTAATTAAGATTTGAGTTATATAAACATGGGTTTTCATCACAACCTCGGTTTAAATTACAGGTTGATTTCAATATCGATGATTTGGTGAGAAATTCATGTTTAGAATTATGGGCTAGATTTTCATAACAAAGGGTGGTGTGAGAAGGAGGCTAGCATTACCAATTATGAATTAGCGATGTTCTAAAAGTATTTGACCATTTGATGTTTTTAGGCACTGAACCAATTTACAAATTTTGTACATTTTGAGTT